GGCAGAGTGGCCCTTTCATCGAATCTGGCTCTCTTCACCCTGAATTCAGCAAGTGTTGTGTTCTTGTATTCCCCGTCTCCATGCAGCTTCAAGAAGTGTTCCTTTAGTTTTGCCGGTGCAAGACTAGAGTTGCTCAACTTGGCGTTGCAAATCATGCAGATAGGACGCTCACTCCCATCACGTTCCGTGATACATGAGAATCCATGTTGTACATATTCGTCCGACCACTTTCTTCTTTTGCCCGACATAGTTAGTATGGATAAAATATTAAAGAAATCACACGACGTACGACAACAACAGTCACACGTTGACTACTGAGTACGCACTAAATTCCCCGCAGCGCTGATTGGCCAAGCAGTGTAGCATGATCATCTGCAGCCAGTGATGGCCAAGCGGGCCGTGTGTGTCATCACAAATTTACACAATAATTCAAGTGTGTCCGGACCTCCGTGGCGGGGGCTCTGCCGAACCCCTGAGATCGACTCACCGAACCCCTTGGGTTCGATCGAACCCAGGTTAAGAACCACTGGTTTAGAATATGAAGAATATATTAAACCCAGAAATAGCAACAAACAAGTCAAGGTTCAAGCCCCCCCCTCCCGCCCACTGCGCCAGCATAACCCAACAATTGTTGCACAAAATAATATTACAGCTAGTGGGGTGCCATGCAAGTAAGATTTGTTGCTGTATTTTAATATGCATTGTATGTTATTGTACCTTAATTAATGAGCGTGTGTAAATAAGTTAAGAGATGTTTGGGCTCAAGATCCCCCTCTTCTCATCTGCCTATGATGGCCTCTTCAATGATTCATGAATAGTTTATTTTGGGTTAGATCGTGTCGGTATAATGTTAATGTAAAACAATAACACTCCACCACTCGACAGAGCCAATCAAAAATGAAGTTGTCAAGTGGGCAACTATGCCAATTGATTTGGTTTATCAGCAAAACCTGTAAGTGTTGTTGTCTTTCGTGGAATGTGTAACTCGCAGCAATGCCATTTACTGGAAGCAATGTGCAGCAAGAGTATTTATGCACACGTATTATCTGACAAATATGTGACCTGAGCCCTCAGACAAAGTAGGGTGTGTGCCGTGTTGAGAGATGTTAAAAATCAGAGTAGTGAATACTAAATACACTTGATCAAATTACCTACAGTTAACCACTTTAAACACACCATGATCAAAGTAAGCCTGAATCAACAAAAAAAACCGTTTCGCCTCACTCGGTATTATTTCTTCACCAACAGCCATGGTCAGACCACTGCTGGATAAAGGTCTGCCCAAGCAAGTGCCACTTTTAAAAATCCCAACGCCTGCACTAAAATGGATTTCATCACTCCATCTACTCGGTGAACATCCTCTCGGACGTGGTGTTTTATTGGCTGCCCGTTCTTTATTATTCTTGGCCAGCAGCCACCATCCCTTCGAGTGACGTTTTCTGTCCAAGCAACTTACGCAAAATTCATAGTTTGAACTATGTCCTTAACCTGCACATGTTCTCTAATTCATGTTCCTCTTTCTGCGTTTCACTGCTACTCCAAGCATAATATATCTTCATGCTTCTATTGTAGTGAATCGCCAGGTTTCTGAAGTATACTATAGCAGGTAGGACACACTGATTTATAAACTTTAGTCTTCAGTCACATTGGTATATTGCTTATCATGATCAAATTCAGCTTTCCTAAAGTATTTCAACCCCTGTTCTTGTCTAGCTCTTCAATATTTTTTATTTCGGTCTGCCATTTAATAGCCGCCCCAGGTAGACGTACTCTGCTGTGTTTGTCAGTGGCATCCCTCTGACAAATATCTCCAATTATTGCGCACACTTGTTGTGTATGGTGGTTGTTTTGCTCTTATTTATCCTGAGCCCAACTTTTTTGCCCAAAAGTATTTTACTGAACAAACGATTCAGGCACACGCAGAGGGCATGTATGGGAATTGACACCAGTGTAGACATTGCGAGGTACAATGATTCTTACCAACGTTTGAAATTTGAAACCTATCTATGACAAGTGTTCCTGAGGCCAACTTTAAAGCCTTAATTATTAAATTCTACTCACATTTCATGCAGTTCTTTCCCATTGGATGTAATAATGACTACGACTATAACGTCAACAAATGCGAAAAAATGGTTCATGTTTTCTCCAGTCATATTATGCCTTTGTTTCTCCTGTTACAATTTTCGTACATTTTTTCAAATAATATTCCTTTAAATAATTATTTAATCAAAATAAAAACGCTTCATTATAACACGATAGTTGGGGTAAAGCTCTGCATTCATAGTGTCAACATAATACCATGCAGTCAAGCAATTACGAAACTCATTACACAAAACGTGGCATGTTGCTGGGTGTACCAAATATTTTCTGGTGTTCTTTCATCCCAGTAAATGAAACCTCTAACCCAGGTTGTGATGTAATTCACAAGTGACTTCACTGCCCATATACATGCTACTTATATTTTTGCACATTGCGTAATTGCATGACGTATGCACAGCCTGATTCAGGCTTCTCTGACATGCAAGCGATCCGTGAAGAAAAACACACACAACACCCTGCACTTTCAATTAGTATCACCGATCCGTAGCATTTTGGATGAGTGAAGAGCTGCCACCCCGAAACGCTCTACTATTGTGTTACCTTTTTGTCACAAACCCCAAATGCATATTTATAAAGTGCACCCAAAAATCTATACACACTTGAATGGGTTGGATGTACAACTAGAATACAGTTATACAGGGCTGATATTTAAAGGACAGCACACTTCTCCCTGCACGAATGTCGCACAGAAAACATCATCATCATTAACCAGGTGAATGGTCAGTGAGACAATACGTCTCTTTTGCAAGGAAGACCTGATAAGAATACATGGAGGGATTGCATGGTCATGAAAACAAGATGAATGGTTTACTTGGTAACTGCTCCTGACACTTTGCTGTAATATTGATTTGGATTACTCCTATTGATGAATGGTCTTCAACAGGTGAATGTGTAATTTCCACCCCTGGCTCCAACTACCAAATTGATATAATCATACCCAACTGTTTTTTTTGAGTATGTATATACCTTATTTTAATGCAGATTATCTTATTAAAGCATGCACATTCTGATTTCAAATGTATATACTGTATTACACGTGTGTATAAATGTAGTGATCATTTATTTCTGAAAATCCTTAAATAGAAAAAAACAACCTTAGATTAAACGCTTATTTTCTTACAAGTGTCCTGAGCGACTGACATATCGTACATTATTTACTACATATTACCGGTGTTGAACACTTAAAGTTGCAATAATGCACGATTGAACTTAGTGCATAGCATGGTAAATATCTGTGTACTTTGAACCCAGTAAAGGGGCGAGGATGTGTACACAGAGGGCGTGGATCAGCAGTCATCCACCACCTAATAATGCTATTCAATTTGGTTTCAAACACAGGCCGCTTTCAATATTGTGCAGCCATGGCAAGGTTAACATTGCTCGGGTGAGATAATGTTGAAAAACTGTGTCACTATACAAATGTGGTGTCCTTTAAGGTGTAAAAGAAAAACGATGTATGTGAAAAATGTATTATTTCCCATTCAGTGAAGCTATGGTGCAGTGGTTTTCACACTGCACAATTAACCTGTTGACGTGCATTCGATTCCTGGCCACGGCAACATCAACAAGAATAGAAGTATATTCTTGGTTCTTTCGGTAAAGTCACGTAGAAGGGAAATACTAAAATAAAAATAAAACAATAAAATTCTCACGACGTTTCGATTGCAACACAAGCAATCATCATCAGGTGTGAAAACCACAGTAAGAACTTTGAATCCCTGCAATAATATGAATCCCTGCAGTCACGAAAGCTTTAAAACGAAAAGGAATAGAAGTGTGAAGCTGACCAATCTGTACTTACCAGCACGGTAAAGTATCGTCAAACAACCTCCATGACAATTTGAGTGTGGGAATACATTAATTTAATCTTCTTCTTCTTCTTCTTGTTAGTTCTGTATCACATTATTTCCCAACATTTTTAAATTGATTCCTGGAGTACTTCCTATAAACTACTGTATATGGGATATTAATGGACATTTTTTTTGGTAAAAATCAGGATTTCATGAATTACTTTTAATTCCTGGATCATCAAATGCTATTTATTTTCAAATCCGAATTAGTTATTCTCTAAATACTACCGTGAATGCTTTGTACCCATGTGACTACAATCAAGTGTTATTTGTATTCTTGGTTCTTTCGGTAAAGTCACGTTGAAGGGAAACAATAAAATAATAAAATATTGTTTCCCTTCAACGTGACTTTACCGAAAGAATCAAGAATATGAATCACTGCAGTCACGAAAGCTTTAAATCAAAATTTAAGCGTTATTTGTGTTTAATCCCTGCACACATTACGAACCCTAACCTTACCTTGAACATAACCAGGAATTGATCATAGATTAGATTATTCGTTAAAAGTTGCTCGGAAGCTCTCCTATTGGTCAATATGAGTCCCATTCCACCTGACTAGAGCCCACCTATCGTCTCAAAACATGTACCCAAATAATTTCCGAAATTACCAAGATTCAATGATGATTTCAGGAATACATTTTTTTAATGTGAGGAAATTGTCATATATTTGGCTATTTTTTCAGACGTCTACACCACTGTCATCCAATCGCTTTATTTTCCATCATCATCATAAACTTTAGTTAAAATATACTGCACATGCAGAACTCTCCGCAAACAAATGAAAAAAAACCCCAATTCAATCCAGCCCATTGGCCTTGGCGGAGCAATATCATGGACCAAGCAGCATTCATTGTGAAGCACCCAACCTGCACGCATCCCATCGCGTTGCGGATTTGGTGAAGGCGGTTTGGGGGTGGTGGGGGACAAGCCAGTGCACGATTGTTGTGCGCGCGCGCGTTGGTGGTGGTGGGGGTGGGTGGGTGGGTGAGTTCTTGATATTTTTGGGGTACAGCTTGAGAAAGCGTCGCTCGGGCCGGGGCCCTTCCCTCCTCCCACGTCCGCTTGGGGCGCCCTATAAAAGGCAGAAGGGAGAGCGGTTCCCGCACTTCGGGAGCGGTTTTTTTTGGTGGCCTCGCGGCTGAATGGTGAGTGCCGTTTTGACGGGTTGCGATGCGTACGTGTGGGCCGTAAACGCCACCGAAGTGTGCCTCTCCCGACAACCCTTTAGTTAGTTAGCTAGCCTAGCCCCGCGAGGAGTTGAGGCGACTCATTATAAGCGACTTTTTAAAAAAAAATTCTTCTTCTTGAGGAAACGTGAACAGCAAAGCAACGTGCGAGCGAACTTCCCGCTTCGCCGCCCTGCGGTTTTGTTGGTTCGACTCGGGTTTGCGCGGTCGCTGTTCTCTCTCTCTCTCTCACCCCCTTGGGAAACCGGTTCACAATCGTGGCTGTGTTTTAAATGACTTCCGACTGTGTTTCAAACGTTGTGTGTGTGTGCGCGTGTAGTAGTCGGGCGTGATCGTACCAAACTCTTGTTGTTGTTGTCGTAGTTAAAGTTTGTGTCGCTCCGTCGTTAACCCGTCGGTGTTCCGTGGCCCAAGGTTGTCTTGTCGGCCCCAAACTCCCGTGACCTGCTGCTGCTGGGGGGTAGGGAGGAGGTTTGCTTGGCTCGCCTTGCACAGTTACACCACCCCCGTGCCATGCTTCAAGTCCTTGCCTAACTACCATTGTCTAGCCAACATTGGCATTCAACACTCGCAGCAGCAGCGTAGCAACTCGAGATGGATCGCCCGGGATTTAGTTCCATTTAGTTCCCATTTATTAGGTATAGCCCCGTGAGCCGTTCGGCTCTTGAATCGGGCGCGACAGGCAACAAACAAACAAGCGACAAAGATAAAGGGCATCACGCGTGCCGTTATTATTATTATACCCCCCGTGATGCTAGGATGAACTCAACGCGGATTCGTGAGGTCCGGTTATTTTCGTGAACGAAAAAAACAACTCCAAAATCTTCCGACTTGAACGCGGTGGTTAAACTTAACCAAGCGCCTTTCGACAATATCCGCCGCTGTGAACGTTGTTTACAACGCGCAGCAAGAGAAGGGAGTTCTTTCTTGCGTGTGTGTGTTTTTTACGATTAATTAACTGTTATACTACGAGTAGCGAAGTCGCACACGAATACACTTGAGTGTCCTAGCCACCGCCACCACCACCACCCCAAACCCACTCGACTGCGTATCGTGCTACGGAGTAGTGCTGTGGTAAATAATGATAATAATGCTGTTGTGTAAGTCGATCCAACCTGCTGTTGTTCTCGTTCATGGGAATTGGTTTCGAGCCGTAACTTTAAAACGGCGCCGGTCAGTGGGCGGGTTCACGAAGGTCGGGTGCGGACGGGGGTTTAGAGGGCTTTAAGGTTCGGTTCACCTCGCGCCACTGATGTTAGCCGTGGCTAGAGCAGCCGGGGCTCGGGGGTGCTGTGGTGTGTGTGTGTGTGGGGGGGCTGCATAGGCGAGTTTCGGGGTTAACCGCAGCGCCACAGCTTCGTCGAACAACTTACAGTCGTCCTATGGAGACCTCCAACCCCGCCGGAGGAACGTGGAATTTCCACGACTGGTTGCGAGGCTGTAAACGGGAGATGCTCCTTTTTGAGCACGAGATCTCTCGCTTGTGACAACCGCGGCAAGAGAGTAACTTGCACCACGGCACGTAACGGGTAGTAGGGCGTAGTATCGAGATTTTGCGAGGTTGTCGCCGTTCACAGTTCACGCCGCCGCCACCGCCCTCTGCGTCACGGTGACAACTGCGCCGTGTCACGCCTGGCACCACGCCTGGCACCACGCTTTGTGCGGGACGTGGTGGTGGTGGTGATGGTGGTGTGGTGGTGGTGATGGCCAGTGCGAGGCCTGCTAGGTCTTGCTTCGGGTGAAGTCTCTCGCCATCTAAGCTACGTTTCTACAGTGCACGTAATTCGGGGTGCCCCAAAAATGAATTGACCCCCCCGCCCCCCCCCCAAAAAAGAACGTTGAATCTGGTGTGTTGTTGTTGTTCGTGATACTGACATACATTTAATATGAATGTCTTGATGTTGCTCTAGAGCTACATCGGCCAAACGAAAACAGGATATGAATACATGTAAAATATTTATACACTGAAGTTTTTGTGTGGTGTTGATTAATTCCGCGTTCAAACTCTGAACATTTTCCAACAGCTGTAGGGATGGATGACAGCATCAACAATGTGATGTTTAATTTCTTCAAGGTTCCTTTGTTTGCGGGTGTAGACTTTGCTTTTTGAAAAATCTAATGGTGAAAAGTCGGGTGGGGTTTCTCCTGAAGCCGTACCAAATCGGTATTGACGAAAAGCTTAAACTTATACATGGAATGCATATATTCATATAAAACGTATGTCAGTATCTCCAATAACAATACATTTATTCAACCTTTATTTTTGGTGTATTGATTTTCGTACACCCTGTATATATACAGTGCTGCAATAGCAATGTACATGCCTTTTGACAATCTACTGCTGGATTAGCACCCTCCACCCCACGTGTTGTGTCCGTTGCGGTGGGTTGTTCGACTATACCTCACCGCACTAGTCGTTTCAGGTTGGTGAAAGGGAGGGTATGTGGTTGGATGGAATAAAACTGGTGCAGATATCATGCTACTGACATTAGCTGCGGCCTGAAATTATACACCTACCCCCATCACTTCACGCAGCCCCCCATCATGGTTGTAATGTATTCGTGGTATACTGCGTTTAAAGTTACCTTTTTATTTGTCAGAGTGATGTGTTTTACCCATTCATGTATTATGCCCGTCGAGGTAACCAGGGTAATGCTGCAAAGTGAAACTTTAAATCTGTGGCGGTATGGGAAGCGTTTTTGCGAGTTATCCAATTTTCGGAGAACCTTGTTTCGCGACTAAACTCTCAACAATAGACAGAAAAAACACGAATAGTAGTAGTTTAACCATATTCTTTTTGGAAAACTGAAATGGAACAATGCTGTGATTTTATATATATACATGTTTATGTGGATTTGAAGCTCTTTGGCTCCTTCGGTAAGGTCACGTAGGTAGAAAAAATAAAAAAATAGATCGGTGATCTAAGAACCAAAGAATATATACATGTTTGTTTAAATCTGTTGTTTTTACTTAAAATCCAGAAATTGGATTATAATTCTCCCTCTACCAGATTGTATAATTAAACAACATTACAGAAGACAACCCATGGGGTTTTTTTCAACAGTCAGCAGGCCACCGTACTGCAAGAATGTAATGGCACTGCAATTCCTCAAGCTACTTGCAGGGGGGAAAAGTCTCCTACTAAAACTTGTGGATATCAGGATGTTTCCCCTGGTGACACCCACATTGGGTTGGATCTTCTAAATTGCACACTTTATTAAATTCGACTGGCTTTTCCCAATATAAGAATGTCTATGATGTTGCATCTATGGTAATTAACATTTTGTTTATATTGATTTTGGTGCTACTGTTTCAACGCGGCGTGCCTTTGTTTAACGCATACGTTTATAGTACCTAATGAGGTAAGGAGGAATATACATCGATGCATGTCCGTAGACTAGACAATTTAAACGATCGCATTGTGCACAATTTTGCGAAATTACATCGATTGTTAAGCTTGGCAAAACGTAACGTTGAGAAAATAAGCAGCAGTTGCACAGGTAAACATAACTTGGTTCTGTTTATAAGCAGGAAAACACTGAGGGCTGACCGTACAATACACAACACCATTGCATCATTCTCATCCAACTTACCAAAGCAGAGGAAACAAGTTCGAGAACGTACAGGAAACCTGTCACAGTTGGGAACATTCAGGAGCTGCTGCAAGGCATAAATGTTTGTGCAGGGCTATAGCAACACTTGGGAAGTATGGGGTGAGGTGTTTTTGTTAAAGCCGTGCTGCATGTCATCAAAGAGCCTGTGCCCAAATGTCGTGGAATGTACATCTTCCCGTAGAATTGCATAAGCTAAGCTAAGCAGGGCTGGGCCTATGTACTGCTTGGATGGGTGGCCACTGCAGGTTGTTGTTGGTCTGGGAAAAACATTGTGGGCTGTGGAGAGCGGTGTAGAGAATACTTTGTTGCACCGCATCTTTTGGCTCCTGCATATGTATTCCCTGTCTTGGGGGTAGATATGATAAGGGGCTATTGAGGGAGGCACATTTACTTTTATAGAATACCGCTTGTATATGGGCATATCAATATCACGAACAGTGCGCCAAACATACATTGCTAAATATGATAATAGGTTTTTTTCCCCCTTTCTGGCAACAAAACAGGTGTTAAGGATGTTAAAACACCAAACTGAAACCTTTTACAAGGAATCATGTCTGCATTAACCACTGCTCGTGATCAGAATGCAGACGAAAAACTCTAATATATGCATTGTCCTTGAAAGTGATTGGTCCACACCAATCAGACAGCTTTCTTTTGAGCCTCGTCTCAAACAGTGTTACACCAGAGGATGCCAAAAAGGCGTACAGCACAAAGACAATGCCACTATCAGAGTAATGAGAGCATCTACATCATGATCTCCTTTGCCAATACCAAAATATGATAATAGGTTTTTCCCCTTCCTTTAGATGCTCACCCCGAGCTCTCATTACTCTGATAGTGCATTGTCTTTGGGCTGTACGCCTTTTGGCGTCCTCTGGTCTAACACTGTTTGAGACGAGGCTCAAAAGAAAGCAGTCTCTGGTGTGGACCAATCGGTTTCAAGGACAATGCATATATTTTCAGTGTTTTTTGTTTGCATTCTGATCACAAGCACTGTGGTTAATGCAGACATGATTCCTTGTAAAAGGTTTCAGTTTGGTGTTTTAACATCTCGACACCTGTTTTGTTGCCAGAAAAAAAGGGGAAAACCCTATTATCATATTTTGGTACTGGCAAAGAAGGTCCCATGATATACATTGCTAAAGTATTGTCAAATAACTCTCACAACCTCCATGGTGGCAGTGGATGCATATGAGGGTTGTTACATGGGATCAAAGAACATTCAAAATTCAACATGACAGCTGCAGTATTCCTTTGCTGCAGGTTTGCAGTGTAATGTGTGGGTAAAATGAACACTACTGTTGGTGTGAGATCTTCCGAGTGTGAAAGCACTAGTTTTGCTAATACAATACTGTATCGGTGGAATGTTTGGGCTTAGCCAGAAGCACCTTTTAGGAAATCATGCCTGAGCTTGTTAAAAGACATGAGAGTTGAGTTACAGTACATGTGGAGTGTCCTTATTAACTAAATTATGATAGTGTGTTTTGTGACTGCTCAATTTTTTTTGTCGAATACACAAAAACAAAGACCCCTGTATTGATTGTACAGACTGTTTGCAAGTGCTTTAACAAGTGCCTAATGAAGACCGGCATGGCACACGAGGGGTTAGGTGGCCAACACCACGCCCTGTTGCCTTCGTCTCCCCAGTGGCGATGTTTACATATCTCACCAGGTACTCGTTTGAGGCCGAGTCGACCTAGGGGAGACCCAGGACCGATTCCTATATTCGTCACTGGCGTTGGCCGTGAGCGGGAATCGAACTTGGATAGATGGGTTCATTGCGCAGCAACGTTCAGCGTTGCATATTTAGTCTTCAATTTACATCAGGGTTTCCTAACTGCGTGCCATCCCGCAATCGCGATATAGTGCTAAGGAAGCGAGTCCGGTTATGGTTTTACCAAATGAGTAAGTTTAAAGTTTATTTTGTTAAACCAGGTGGGAACTCAAGAGACCATGATGAGGCACCTTTGTAAGAGTGACTAGGTAACCAAAATGACAAAAGGAAAAAACAAACACAACAAATGTATAGATGAAGTCGCATGTTAAAAAGTACTCTAGATTTCTATTATAATTGAAAAAAAAGTTCTGTACTGTATTCATATTGTGGGTCCTTGACCCCCAATTTTTTTTTTATAAAAGGAACATACGTAAGTATAATTTTGTATAAGCTTTCACAATACGTTTTTACTAAACGGTACTGAATGGCCACATGCAATTGCAGTGTGGTTTTCAATGGCCCGCTTCTTTAGTGAGCTGCTTTTGCCATCATCGTACTCCATGAAAACGTGACTTCCTTTTGGTGCAGGCCAGAAAACAGGCACGTCTTTCATCACGTATCTGTGTAGAATGACCAGATGGTGTTAATGTAGAGCTGGGGCAACAACGGGCACGTTATTGCTTGTTGCTTCTGTGGCATGGTAAAGCAGAGGCACTGTTTTTATTGCTGAAGTTGTGTAACTGCTTTCTATTTTTATAATTGTGGTCAGCGGTTTGTAACGAATGTGAATCGTTGTTGTAACCTTGGCCACACATGGATGCTAACCTCATGGTTTGTATTGTAATCTTGCTCTGAACAAGGAGTTTCAACTATTAACGTTTTGTAGATCTGATTAAATGTGCAGTACATTATGTATCGTTTGCAATGGGTCAGCCTGTCGGCTGTCCCTGGCCAGTTTTTTTTACAGTAATTTTTTTTAAGTTGGAAAACTGTCCACCAATATAGATTGAGTCTTATCAGCAGATGAAGGCTCGTTAAACATAATGCTGCTGGTTCGCTTTTATGTGTGCCATGGGGCCCAGTCGGCACTAAACATTGGCAAAAAAGGCGTTAACATGTGCCACCACCATGTAGGATTATAGCTAATAATTTACACAAATTATCACGTGTAATATTGCCTTTAACCCTCAATGATGGTGTATAATGAGTTTATTTTCATACACTTTGCAGTTGAGTTACAGTTATGAAGTATTTTGAAAAATAAACCATAGCTTAGAAAGATTTGTCCATTTTGGGATGTGTTCATGTTACGCTCTATGTAACAGGGAATGCATTCTGGCTCGCTTGTATAGTGTGTTTTAGTTACATGCCTTGTACTGTTTGAGTGTAGTACACTGAGCAAAAAGAGATGAGTTTTCTGAGGAATGTGAAATGCTAGAATATTGCCTGCCCAGCTTGTGGGTAAAAGAGGAAGCCGTCTGAGTGAGATATGGCGCTGTGGGTTTGGGCAGATGGGTGTGGGTGGGTTTGGCCTACAAAGGCCATGTTTTTGTGACCATTTTTCTTGTGCATGTGTATGGCATAGATAATCAATCCCAACCTGACACTGGAATCCCTCATGGGTGTGTTGGCATCTTAAGCGTTTAATAAAAAATATACATAACTGTATTTTAATCAAGTTACTTAAAAGGTGTTTCGTTTTAATTTCAGTACTTTGAAACTCTGAATTGACTACTGAGTCTTTGCTAGCTGGTATAAAGAGTGATTGGATTGTCCATTTCAATTGTTTTTAAATTAAACCCTCGCATCTGCATGGCAAATTAATAGTTACTGTAGCACAGCTGTGGATTTAATAAGTGCAGGAGTGACAGTTTTGTTAAGTATAACTATTTACTGCTCTCGTGTATATACGTTCCTTTTGATGATATTGCATTTGTAGCTTGCTTTTGCGTGTGGTTATTAATACAGCTTTGGCATTCAGAAACATTGGCAATGAGAGCACCACTTGGAATATAAACATTTCCAAGTAGAATGTTAGTGCCTCCCTGTAGAAACTTTAAAGCCGCACAATAGTGCCGGTCAGTTTTGCGTGCTTGCAGGCAGCATGCTTTGACATCAGGGCAAATATGTCTGATCGTATTTCCCTCTACATCTGTATTTCTTTGCACTTTAAACTGAATGCTTACCTTTTAACATTATACAAATTGTATTTAAATATGGTGCTCATTTTGCACGTATGCCTGACTTGTGTCATTAGTGGAGGGTGAGTGTAAGCAGATATTAAATGCCGTTATGGAATATTTGTTTTTGTAACATTTTTGGTGATAAAAATGTGTTTTTCTCTTTAGCGTTTTATTTGGACATTCGTAAGCAGTGTTTTTTAAATATGCATTTAATTTCCTCTTTTCCATAATGCTATCCAAATTGTGCTGTTGGCCTCGTCAGGATGGATAATTCATTCGGAGCTCTCGTGGTGCAGTGAAATCTCACCCCGTTTTGGAGAATTGTCTGAGACGAGATATCCTTGAATTGATTCTGAAATTGATGCAATGGACTTATTCAAATTAGGTGGCATAACTTTCTTACCCTTGTTGCGACAGGGATAAATATTAATGACACGAGTCAATCCGTTCCTTTTAATTTTCAGATTGAATACAGCCAAACCAAGTATAATACCAAATGTACTGTTTTTGTGTGCAAGTCATTGTTTGACCAGACACAGATGATCACGTTACTTGACTTAACAGTTTTAATCATGTTTTGGCTGCCCAGATTCTAACCCAGGATTTTAGTATTGTCAAAATTTGCACTCTGACCTCTAAGTCATCTAATGAAAAAAATGCTATCTTGAGTACTGTACTTTTAAATATACACAGTAACTGGATTCGTGCATTTGCCACAGAGGCAGCGTGGCCTGCCCCATTGATTTATTAATTCCGTGTTCTCAAAGAGTAGATGTTGAGGCACTTCGGCATTACTCATCTCTCTCTCGGGTATGGATATGAATTTACACTCGCAACTATAAATCGATGTCTCCGTTGTAAATCCAGCTGCTGCCTTACTAGGACAGCGAGTGGCAATACCACGTGTGCTCTTAGAACGCTATCAGTGGATACGAGTTTCATGATGTGTTCCACTATTTTATGCGGTGTGCTGCAGTCACATTTGAGTGGAGTAGGTGATTGCACCTGCCGTGGCCAGTGTCGTCCATTGCTTGCCGGGCAGTGACCTTTCCGATGGCTGGATGGTGAGATGCACCTCTAATTCGGATTATTATAGCATTCTCTCAATTTTTCCGCTACCAGTCGTTGATGCCGCCCAGCATGTGACGGAGTCTTTCCGCAGTGTCTTTCCACAATATACCAGAATGGCTGACATACACTGCTCATAGGGTTGGATAAGAGCATCTGGTAATGCAACCATCACTACCCCCACCGGTTTGTATAAAAGTTAAATGCAACCTTTAGTCCTTGAAAGAGAACAGGTGAATTGTACTGAGCGATTGCTCTTGATGTTGCATGTACAAATGACGAGTGGCAACTTGGTGGTTGTATATGACCCTTCACCCGGCTCGGTCTGATTCCTGTCTGCCATTTCCTCAGGTTGGGCAGGTTGATATCACTGTTTGTTTTGACTGTCTTGTCACCGTCAAAAGGCTACCCTTGATTGTATTATTGTGCTGCTGTTTAGTGCAGGAAAAACGATTGTCCCTGGCACTGCTGAGCGAAGGGACTGACGGAAGTGGCAATTGAGACCTCAACATGGAGGAAGTTGGGAGACCTACTCCTAAAGCCAGTCCAGCCAAAGACAGGAGAGCAGCATATGTTGCAAGCAAATCGCTACACAAAACCGAGGTCGGTGAAGAAGAGATTTTGGAAGAAGTCAAAGCTTGCCAAGTTGCAGAGAAGAATCTTAGCAATGGCTGGACCCAGAAACCTGGTGAGTAAAACATAATTAAAGCAGTTGTGTTTTTCTCAAATTGAATAATTAGCACGGATACATGATGTTCATATTTTAATTGTTTGAGTAATGCAGATGGTAAATAAAATTTAAATTCTGAATATGCCATATTTAGAGATCTCAAGTGAAGCCTGGTTTAATACATTCCACAACTGTGTGTGTGCTACACAAACTAATGACATTCAGAGGTACATAATGGATCTATAAACTTCGTGTTTGTATTGCTGGAGAATTAGAATTATTTATGGAATAAAAAGTTGTTTCTAAATTGCTGCTGCTGAAGACCCTAATTAGATATTCCAAGAATTTGCTGACTTTGTAATTAAAATGCAATTTATCTTGACTTATGCCAAGTTTGGTTCACGATTACTGCATTAGCTTGTGCCACTGTTTAAAAGGAACACTTAATTGTTGAGGGATCTGCCCTGTTACTTGTTTTGTGGGATGTTTACTATTTATGGTGGTCATGTGGCTGTTGAAATGCTCTTGGCAAAAGTGGTATTGTTTATAACATAAAACAAGCACAGTTAATTTGTGTGGTATTAAGTGTTGAGATTAATTACTTTAATCTGTACTCCATAGTACTATACACATCCGTCACGCAAGTGTCATTTAAATTCCTTTGACATTGAATTGATAAACAGGCAAGTGGTAAGAGTTGAATCTAGATGCACACATTTGTTATCGTATAAATATGCATGATTTTACAATCCACTGTATCTTGAGTGAAGTGATGGCGCTAATTCAGGTGTTGTACTAATTGAAGTTCAGAGGATCTTGAATATATGCACACTGTAGTTACATGCCCGTTACTGTTTTTAGAAAAATCCCATTAAATTTACATTTCAGCATTCTTCGGCATTCTTGTTTTAGTGTTTATTATCGGCTAACTGCATTTCCAGTTTACAAACCTCACCCAGGTTGGTGCTTTTCCTTTGTTTGTTTCCAGGATGGTCACAGCCCTAACTCTCAGTTTGTGGTATTTCATCCAAATGGTTTCTCATTGCTTTGAGACCTCTTTGTTAACCACCATGACCCAAAATAGCTTGTCAGTTGCACAAATCATTATAATCGCTCTTAAAATTTAAAGTAACTGTTATTTTGGGGTAGAGGAGTGCTGGTTATGCAGCTGAAGTACTCGTGATGGGTGGTTTGACCTAAGTTATTGTAGTTGTCCAAAGGAATACCGATTTCAATTATGAAGTATACACATTACAATGCTTTTTAATTGGTCGGGGGTGTCCCATTTTTTTTTCACTAACATACACTTCAATAGCAGTCTTCAATGAACTGTATAACCTTTCACAGCTGAAATTGTGGCTGTTCAATGGCATAGAAAGGAAATTCAGAAAAGCCATAAACTAGTTTCCCCTTTATTGGTTTAATCAGTAGACCCAGGCACGATTTTATTTTGACCGTCCGTATAAACTCACTGAGCAAATGGACCACAATTGGATTTACATCAGGGATGGAAAGACTGAGTATTTTAACTATTTGGTTGACAACGTCCAAATATCAGAAAGAGACCACCAACATTTTTCTGCTAGTCGGGGTCTATTTCCGTATGATATTTTTCGGGTTCTGCAGAAATCTTGGTAAATCTAATGCAATAACACAAACGAGCGTAACATTCTTAGGACTTTAACCAAATCACCAGGAATGCACACTTGTTCATAGCTTGGACACTGAGCAGGGTTGAGCCTCGATAGTGCTTCAATGTTTGACTGCTATCATTTAAACCACGTGTTAAAGCATGCAGCGGTGCTGTGGTGGGTAACCAGAGGGGGTCAGTTGAACAACATTTCTTGTTTTTATTACTTTTCTATCTACGTGACTTTTACAGTAAGACCCAAAGAATATGAATTCCTGTAGTCACGAAAGCTTTAAGTCAAGGTTTATTTCTTGTTGTGTCTTTCCTGTACGTCGATGCACCCATTTGTCTATGCTGGCAGCCCTCGACCCACACCAGCCACCGTGGGGAGGTGTGAGCAAATAATCCCCGCGACTTGCAGGGTGATGTGAGGTCATCATCCAACAGTGGATTGACAACAAGGTTGTGCATGTCAATTCTTACATGGGTTGTGTTTGATTTGTTTTAGTAAGCATCTTGATAGTATTTAAAAAAGCTGAACTGACGTGGCCCCTTAGTGATTTTATTTTATTTCAAGTAAGATTAAGTACTTGTATGTTGCTTCGCTGAGACGTTCACAATTCTGCAGTGTGAAAGAAATTTGAGCCCTGTCCCTTGGGGGGTAATAATAAAATTGAATCGCTGTCCTTGAGCGGAGTAAGTTAGAGCTCATGATTAGGTAATGTGTTATCACACCAACGCAGTAATACGATTCCTTGTGGTTCTTATTACGCAGAGAACCTCACCAGTCACTCTGTGGAAAATTGGCTCACAAACTGCGTGTGAGTACCCCTTATCACTTTTTTTTCACGTTCGTGTTGCGTGCTTTCATGCTAATTTGTGCGCTTACAATTTATGGTTGAAATGAGGTGATGTAAATGCTGTTTTGTCGAAGCATGACTTAAGGCTTTAACAGGTGGAATTTGTCGGAAATCATCAATCCGTAAGACCTGTACATGGAGTGGTCGAAATTTTGAGAACCGAGCATTAACTGGCCATTATGGTGTTACTTTTTTTGAAGGCCGACTGGAGATAAAAATGGAAACACTGCTCAGAAAGGTACAGATTTGAAACGCTTGTTAAGTGCATTAGAATACATTATGCAGATCTAGCTGCGTGACTTTTGGTAGACTGCTCTGCTCGGAATAGGAAGGTTTCGAGTTCAAATGGTTATCTGTACGCAAGTCGGCCCATCGTCTCTTGCGAGTCGATTGAATGAGTACCCCATTATTGAACGTGTTCTAACGCCATGCAAGTCTTTATAAAGACTGGCTCCTGCCACAGCCGTATGGAATTTCTACCACCGGCCTCGGGGTCACAAATTCAAATGAGTGCCACTCCATTGCTTGTTTGAGCAGGGAGATGAGGGCCTATTCACATTACATTTTAAACAACAACATTGCACGTTCATACTGTATAACCAAACATCAAGTTTTAACTGCTTCACTGAATTGAACTAAAAAAGAGAACAGAAAAACTCAAACTCCTTTCTGGTTCTTCAAGGGCATGTACTGTTGCCTCTATGTAATCCTCGCACCTTGCCGCACCACCTGCAAAATATATTTATTTTCTTTTTTTGCTGTACTGTATTCAGCAAGGTTGTGATTTTTGTGGTGCTTTATGGGTGTTCCAAACTAATAACTTAATCGATTTACTGGCGTGCAGGTGCCAACCAGCTCAAACCTGGCAGCAACATTGAAGACGATCTGTTGCTTGGAGCGGAAGGTATATACTCTTCACACAATTATATCTAATTGACAAGTCGTGGAATAAAATGAGAGGATTTGGGATTGCATAGTATTTGTAATTATGTTAATAATGTTGCTAATTGTTATGCAAAGCAAATGTTCATTTATTTTAAAAAAAAATTCTAAATGGTTAAAGGGCCTGGGAAAGGTTTTTTTTAAAGATGCTTAGATTTAGCTTTAAAATACCTATCAAGTTAAAAACAGGTGCTCTTGCAACACTTTTCCTATTGTAATAAGGAATGTATTTTCACCTCCCGTATAATGATTCATATACTATGTTCAACCTTCAACTTACGACTTGTATTTGTTAACCTCGTAAATAAACAATAGCAATACATTTTAGCTTAAAGCTTTGGTGACTGCTGGAATTCATTCTTTGGGTCTTTCGGTAAAAAAAAACCAATAGCAATTTTGTGTTTTTATTTGCAACAATAAGATACGTAAAGAACCTGGGAATACAATCTTCAAGCGACCTGACAAATTATTGCAGCGACCCCCAGCTGTAATCTGGAGAGAGACAGGAAAGAGGGAGAAGAACAGGAGAAAACAGAAAGATAAAAGGGCAATATTAACGTTTTAAAAGTTTTTTTTTCGTCAACTGAGCTGTTAGGCTGGTGTGTACTAAGATTCACTGAATCTACTACTACAGATTTAGGACTGCTGCTGTAATTCTCGAGATACAACTTTAATCACTTTCACACTAATGCTGTCTGTAATGCCGCAAACGTTAATATTTATAACGTATCCTGATAGTGATGAACGGATCACGCAATTGACACCAGTTTCCGTATAATAACCGTGTCGGTGGCTATGGGATTTCCCCGACTCTTTACCGACGGCTTCTAAAAACCATGAGCCATATTGGAAATTATCCAGTCATTTAGACGTGTGCACTGTGCAACAACTTAATAAACATCTGTCTGGTGAGCATGTGTGAGTACAGAATTGTAGAATAGAGAGGTGTGAGAACTAGAGTTTTTGGCATGTGTATGCCCTCGATTAAAAAATATTTTAATGGGTATCTCTTCGTTGCTAAATGGAACGCAGTTACACAGTCGTGCTGCTGGTAATTGTGAATATAGCATTGCATTCTTAGCACAGAGTTAGTTGCATTGGGTGTATTGTTCAACAGATGTATACAGCTGTCCCACAGATGTATACAGCTGTTGTCCAAGGTTAATGTATATTTATGAATGAACTGCTTTTGTAAAATGTGAGCACCACTGACTCAATCGTTTTCAGAATGTTGTAAAGTCTGCTTTTAGGTTTCAGTTTGTTCGTACAGCGTTTATTTAGACACTCGCATGCAAATCCAAAGAAGTGTTCCCTTTTATTTAAAGTAGTGTCCGTATTTATGTGCAAGATGTGTTTGTGTATTTTTAAACATTGTTTATTAGTAAGACATGTGAAGCCGTATATAATTAGACATTTTGCTGCAGAAAATGCAGTGGGATGAGGACGAGTGTTTTGAGGTGGAATTTGGTAAATACCAGTTTAGGAAGCCAAAAACCTCAAACTGTCCCACTTTGTTTTACCAATGCAGGCAGCTTTGTACAAAGCATCCCTGTTGGCTGGATTTTCCACATTAAATGCCTGGCGGAAGACCTCGATGTGCTTTATTTTAGAAGGAATTGAGGATTTGACACACAGGCTTTAATTAACTGTGCTGGCTTGGAGCACTCGCTATCTCCATTTTTTTTTTTATCATTGTCTGGTGATGCTTTCTGCACTTTTTCTGTGTAATGATGTTGACTTTTTTTCTTACAAATTCAGCCCAAAATCTCTGCGGAAGCAAGGCCATTAACAGAGTGCTTAACAGGTAGGGTTACCATTGTATTCTTGCTTTCATTGAAAGTAATGGAATTGATAACCCCTATGTGTAATGGAACACAGTCTGTAAATGTGTAATCGGGTATGGTGTTTGGGTGTTAAATATTATGTTAACAGTTGGAATGTTGCCTTTATCTTAATGGAAAGTAAAGAAAAAATACTCTAAGAATCAATGATTTATTAAACAAGACAAACAACCCCAAAGCAAAAACTTTTGCTGTAATTTTCACCACTACAAAAGCTGATGCTATACTTATACTTGGATAAAAAAATAAAAAAATCACGTGCAAAGTCATGTACAATAATATCTTGTTTTTTAGCTTGCCTTATTGCATTGCACTTCAGTTCTGGTCTCCCAGGTTACATTCTTGACCAACCATAACATCATTAGTAATGTGTATCTGAACTTTGTTGATGAGTACCTACTATGTGCCAAAGTCATCAACTCTGAGACCAAGGCGATAGTGACTGGCATTAACTACATCAAGTCTGTGCTGTTTTAGCCTTCATTAGCTGCTCGCTGACAGAATACACCTTAATAGACTATACAAATTTAGGTGTTCTTTTGTGTGTGTGCGCATGGCTGGTGGGGAGTGTTCGGGTGTGCTACAAACCCGGTTACCCGAGTTCGATTCCCGCTCACGGATTACCAGTGACGATTACCGCTCACGGATTACCAGTGACGATTACCTGAAATCGGTCCTGGGCCTCCCCAATGTCGACTGCCTCAAAGAGTAGCTGGTGCTATGTGTAAACATCGCCACTGGGGAGAGAGAAAGGCGGTCGGGCGTGTTACTGGCCATCCATCCCCTCGTGTACAGTGCCGTCCTTCATAGGTACTTGCTAACAGCACTTGCCCAAAACATCTGTTAAGGGGGGGGTGGGGAATCTTTGTCTCTCTTTTGTGGTAACAGTGAAGAAAGAGTGCTTGATCTACCTAAAACCAACAAGAAGAAGGTGGGGTTTCAAAACATGGGCCAGAGCTTCAATTCCTCGAGCTCTGGAAACACCGTCTCAAGGTGAGGTACCTCTGCAGAGTTCTCCACGAGGCCTTCCGTGCTCTGTCTTGGGAGTCGGCAAGCAGCAGTGACGTGCATCAAGTTTAGATGCTTATTGCTGAAATGCAGTACTCGTTTTATAATGACATTGACCTATTATTTTAGATGTCCAATTCTAAAGCTATTTAGGCTAATATAGACTAAATGTCCTTTTACAGATGCCATATTTAGCCAATTTCATATTAAATGCAGTACTGTGTAGATTCTACTTTGCATACGCATTCTCTGCAGCGTATGTTTTTATATATAAAACTGCTATGTTTGATAACAGTATTTCTCATAATAAAGGTTTTTGGGTTAGATCGCGTTATTTATAAATGTGTCGTAACCCTCCACCACCCAACACGGCCAATCGGCAAAAAAGTGTCACGTTGACAAAAGACACTTAGTTCACTACTTTAGCCCACCGGTGTGTTGAAGAGTGAATCAACATAATTTAAAATTTGAGTACGACGTTTCGCTGGTAATTACATCCAGCTTCATTGGGCAATTTGCCAGAATGGTAAAGCCCTCCACCTGCTCCCGGTCTTAAATAGAGCAGCAGGGTGACGTCATCATTTAACTCATTTCAGGTGCAGTAACTATATAATCGATTGGTAATCAGTCAATGGTTATGATTAGTAATGAGTTGTAGATTAGTAATTAGTTGTAATGTGTGTTATGTCTTTTGTCAATGTGACACTTTTGTTGATTGGCCGTGTCGGGTGGTGGAGGGTTACGACACATTTATAAATAACGCGATCTAATCCAAAAACCTTTATTATGAATAATATTGGTCGCGAAAGCCTACGTGTTAAACAGTATTTCTATAAAAAATGTATATCTCGCCGTGTACCATAACACAATGCTTGTAGCTCAAGCGTGTAGGGTTTTCCATAAAACCTCTTCGTGTTGTGAATCTGAGATAATATCTTCCTTCCTGGCCACCTGGAACCCAATTCTGCCAAGCTTGGGGAAAACAATGGGGGTATTAATGAAATGTCTTCTCAATGCATAAATAAAAAAAACAGTCTAATGAAGTGTCTCGAGTATATTAGCTTTTTTATAATCTTTCTAAACAATTGGGCAGTAGGAAATACCCACATTCTCAAATGCATAAAGTAGCCTAAAACCATTGATTCATTAACATTTCTTCAGTTTTTATTTTTACAATGGGAGCATGTGCACTGTAGCAAACTATATATTTTTTACAATTTAGTGGTTAATTTTCATACATCGGTGTGGCTTTGGAATTAAAGCACTTTGACACACAATTGCAAGGTTGTGAATTCAGGCCTTCATTCCTCTCTCACTGATAAAATTATTATTTATGACGAATCAATAGTGGTTATCCTTCGGGGGAACTTGCCCTGACCATAGGGATGTGAAATTCCTGCAACTGTTCAAGGCTTTAAATGGCTGATGAAAACTGCTCCACATTCTTTAGAGCAGGATGCCTATTTGAGATTTAGAATTTTTTACAACTATAATTTATGCTGTAAAATAACCCATTGGGCCACAACATCAATTATTTGTGCCAAATCGTATCAGACTTTAAGTGTATCAACCATTAGTGGGAATCAAACCACTTGAGCTGGCCGAATTGAAATTTCTAGCCACTTGGCCTCTCAGTCTAATTGTGTTTGTCCTTTTTGTTTGTATGGTCACTAGGGCTACCTGTTTTGAGGGTCATTGCAATGTTTTTTACCAAATTTGTTTTTATATTATCTTGTAGAAAAATCCGTTAAACAAATGTGGAGCCATGTTTGTACCCTCTGGAGTTTCTGTGACCTTTCTGTACAATAGCCCCCTTCATACCATTGTACATGTGTTCTTGATGTGATTTGAGGTTACTTAGAGTTACTTGCAGTTCTGCCCAGAACCGTCACACAGTGAATTACAGCACCGAGGTGAAGTCATTCACTATCCTTTCCTCTGAGGTTTTTGTTTACAGTTTGGCTGATATTGTAAAAAACAACGTGTTTTAGGTAGAAAACTTTAACGTGATTTGTGGGTTTTAGGATTTTTGTTTGGAGAGAAACAAAAGTATTGTCTAACTGTAGCTATTATTTACTGACTGCAATATCAACCATACATAAGTATCATCAGAGTATAATTTACCCTGAACATCAAGGCTCTTCGATTGCCATAATGACTTTCAGATAATTATATTCAAACTGATTAAAAAGGTCGGTTACATTCAGAAATAGTAAATAGATTAGGAATGGCAGCTTTAAATTCCTAAAAGTTTTCCAAAAATAGTGTGCAGAAATTTCAGGGCTTGTTTTTTTCAGTGTCTCCAAAGTCTGCGGACAACTAATTTATTCCAGCTCAAGAAGAAAGGACAAATGCATGGATTAACAAATGCGGCAAACGTTGAAGACGATCATAGGCACGACCTGGAATTACTGTAGAATTGTTATGTAGTGGCATTGGTGCCAGTTTCCTGAAAAGGTTAATGGTACACATTTTGGATGTGTAGAAATGTATGTGTGTAACTACTGATAAAGTTATAGGAATAGGTTTTACCCTTTTAACTGGCACAAAAACTGACACCTTTATTCAAGGCATCATGTTTGCAATGACCACAACACAAGCAGTCAAAATGCAAACAAAAAAGAAAACTCTGATAATAATATGCACTGTCCTTGAATTTGATTGGTCCACACCCGAGACAGATAAAGTTCTTTCGCACGAAGCAAGTGTGCACGTATTTTTTGGGTGAAATCTTCTATTGGTCTGGTGATGCTGCATGAGACGATCAAAGGGGTCTCTGTTGGATTGCGGGTGGTGTACATAGAGTAACATTTCTGAAAAAGGCCACACTGTTCCTGTGTCATTGACCAAATTCAACCATTGTAAATTACCCTTCAACTAAATTGCAAAACTTCTGACCCCTCCCACTCCAACCCAATCTTGGATGTTGTGATGGGAATCCTCTGCTGAACTGGGAGTACAGATGTGCTCTCTCCATGTTAATAATAAAGGAACACTGATGCGAGGAGAGACATCAGCAGTCCATTGCGTAAGAAGTGTCCTGTAAACAAGTGTAATAAGCAGGTGTCTCATTATCCAGCGCCCCCCCCCCCCCACCCAAAGTGGTCTGTTAAAGACCAAGTGCGTGTGGTGTTTTTTTCAGTAAATGTTGTTTGATGCAAACGATGAAGCTTTACACGCAAGTAATCATGTTCCCCTTACTTTGCCAGTGTGTGCGAGCTCTTAGACCTGTGCGAGGAGAACCCGGAGGAGATCCTTTACAACCTGGGATTTGGTCACGACGAGCCGGATATTGCGAGCAAAATCCCTCCGCGTTTTTTCGCTGCACCATCACAGGCCACAGGCATCGACTTCAGAGTATTCCTGCAGTGCCAGCTCTTGCGTATGGATCGTGAGAATCCAACCCTGGCCAGTAAGTGTGCATGGAAATGGCTTGCAGCTTAAATATAATATGTTTAAATATATTTATATCAGACAATTACTTGAAAATTGTTTTTGAAGTAGGGATGATATGGATGTTTTTAAATATATGTATCCTAAGTTGCGAATAGTTTTTTTTTTATGGCGGAATTTAAAATTGTTAATTACACCCTTGTGAACAAGGTTGACTTGAAATGTTTTTCCATCATCCCCATGCAATGTCAATCGAAACCAGGAAAAAAAAACTAATTTGATCCAAATACCATCGTGCCTGGCCAATGTAGAATAAGAGAAGGCATTTGACTTGGTGGAAATTGATGCAGTCATCCAAAATCAATGCCATTTGGCATGAAGTATTTAGAAATCATAAACCTTTTACAATTTGTTACAATTACACGGACTAGGTGAAAAAAGTTTGTGACATGAATTTAATTATTTACGTAATAAGGTGGAGCAGTGGCACAATGGATGGCACACTGCTCTATGAACCTGCCAGTCTTTTTTTTATTTTCGACCACGGCTAGCACAGGTTGAGTGCCATTTAAACCACTCCCTTGGTGCTCCCTCGTCGCCAGAGCATACTTACCAGTAGCATGTCGAAGTATGGTCAAACAACTCGCATGATAAACGCAATGAGGAGAGGCCTTCGTCCAGCAGTGGATTGATTGACAAAAGGGCTGTAAATGACTTTTTTTCTATTATTTATTCATCATAAAAAATTGTCATGTTAAGCAACTTCATGTGCTTTTGTTGACGTTTGACCTGAAATGTTTCTTTCATTTAATGCAATCATTAATTTGCCAGGCCCACAGTGACGCCACCAATGCATCGCTGCTATCAGCTTGTGTATCGTATTGATTGCCAAGTACAGTTATTTTATTTAGAGTGAAGTAAAATGTGGAACCCAGTGGTTTTCTGAAGAGTTATGTTAGTGGGGACTTGTTTGTTTGTGTGACTGTTATGATTGGGATGATTCACCCCCCCCCCCCCCCCCCCCCAACAATTTTACAAATTGCTGCAAATCAGGGCTGTAGTTAGATTATTATTTTTTGACCATTGTCATCTGTGGTACCACCTAAAGTGGCTCCAGTGGTGTCTTTAACCCATGACATGCAGCATATATGAACAAGTTCCAATTCATTCTCACTTCCACCACAATACATCTTTTTGTAAGCGTAAGAATCTATTCATTACCGAATCGGCGCATCATGCCATCCCGGGTTGATATAGACAATACTATATGCATGCAATGAGTGGGTATGCTTCCAAAAATGCATATCTTAGCATCAGGAGTATGAATGATAATATATTAATTAATGAAAATGCTGTCTATGATGTGTGCTAGCCACTAAACATGCTTAAGCTGCCTGCCTAAGCTCAGAATTATGTCGAATAGGGGAAATGTGGACAGTCCAAACAACCGTATGTGTGGTTGAGGGCCACATGTAACAGATTTTATAGGCAAAACAAACAAACTGGTAACTGGGCATTAAAGCCCTTTGCCTTTGTAGATTACAATATATTTTTTGCATGTCAATGATTTGTGATGTTTCTTTTATAAAAGACATTACAAATTTGTTACATTAATTAATGTTCGGCAACATCGGGATTATCTTTAAAGCGCCTGTGTAAATAATATGATTTAAAGCTTGTAAAATCTGGCATGCACCACACTTATGTGCTTGGTATTTCATGCATTGTTTTATTTAAGGTATTTTTTTTAGCTTGGCCAATTTTTTTTATTGAAACTATGATGGCCTCTATAAATGGTTAATTAAAAATCGCAAGTCATGAGGTTAAATCGTGGAATGCACATTGTATTCTGGCTGTGGGTGTGTGGTTGGATGGACCTTGGTCATATATATTTTAAAAAATGACATAACATGAGCCGTCCTGAGTTTTATGAAGAAACTTTCCATAGAAAGCAGAATTTTTCTTCAACAAATGTGCCATTTTATGGTATTTTCTATGTCGCTATGTCACTTGAGAGGAAAGTAGAATACTCTGTGTAAGGTAACTGACCTTTTATTGAAGAATATGGGTTTGAAGCACTGAATGTCCCAAACAATTGCCTCTTTTATTAAGCATTCGGCACGGTGGTTGGCACACTGCACTGAGCCCGGTAGCCTAAATTAAATTCTTATCCACCGCTGACAGAAGTGGCGAGGTAAAACTTTGAAGTCATCCCGGGAATCCCTTCTGACTCAACCTGACCAGTGTGAAGTGTAGTCAAAAAAAACTCGCATGGCTAGGTAATCCACCAGTGGATATATGGTTTATATTTATTAAGGTGCTGTTAAAAATATACAATGGTAATGAAGAGTTTATACTTTTAACATGTGCAAAACATTCAAGAGACGTTGAACATATTTTAAAGTAACAATATTTGTTCACGGTAATCCCAATTTTTTTTTTTATCTTGTCAGATCGTTTCCGGCAGGTCGAAGTATTTGCAACGGTCGCTGACGCCTTTTCGAGCCTCTACTCGCGTGTGAGTGGCATGCCAGTCGACATGATCATGAGAGGGGCAGCGGGCACCCTCCCCTCGGCGCCTGAGACCGAGGAAGCCACGGGTGGTGTCACGGTGAAGGCTGCCACGAAGCTCCTGAACACCGTCCGCACTCGACGCAGCCTGAGCAGCCCGTCGGATATCGAGCAGAAGCGACGCACGCTCCTGTCTCAAGCCCGCACTCCGCCAGACTCGGCGAGTGCTGCCCGGCATAAGAAACCAGAGACCCCCGCGCCGCAAAGTTGCGCGGCTACAGCAATGGGGGGCGATGAGCAGTGTGAGAACAATCCAGCAGGGCGCATACGTCAACTGAGAGAAGACAACTTGCAAAGGTTATCAACGCGTCTCTCTGAAAGGCTCTGTTTGGATCCCCTGACTGAAGAGGTCGTCCCCCCCGCTTCAGAAGATGACACGCCTGTTTTTATGTCTGTCGACACGAGCCCCTTGCAGCCTGACGTGCGGCGTGCCTCTCCCTCGGAAGCAGAATTTTCACGTCGGCATCATTCTTCTCCGTGTGAAGTCGTGACCGTTCAAAGCAGCAATTCGGCTGGTAATTTGGAGCAGGATGAAGTGAGCACTGCTGTGGCGGACATTGTGCTTTTGAGCGATCGGAGCACGTCTGCAGGTGAAGTGGTGTGCGGCGACTCAATAGCTGGTCCCAAAAAACAGTTACGTGCGGTGCCTTGTCCGGAGCAGAAAGAATGGCCCAGGAAACCCCTAACCTCCACTCCAGACACCGAGGTTGAGCCTTCACATCGTCCACCACTTGCGGAGGCGATGCAGAAGGAGTCCTTTGACATTGAGGAGGTAAGAGAGCACTCGAGTTGTCCCGTCTTACTGTTTTGTAAAATCGCTGTTGGGAATTCGCTTTTGAAAAGTATTGTATTTCCCAGAAAAAGTTGCTTATTTGGGTGACATTTCCCGTTTTCATGGTTCTTGACTTTTTTACGAGTAACTTTACCGCTATGAAATGTTTACTCATAAGTTATTTATATGGGTAAGTCTCAGGCGATGGTGATAAAAAAAACACCTGTCACTACCCCCCCTAGTTATCATCCCAGCACTGTGCTCAGAAATATGCATAAAGCGTGCATCAGAAATATGCATAAAGCGTGCAAAAGACCCTTGCATATGATGGTGACATTCTAGCAAGTACATGAGATTGTTATTAGTATTGATTTTCATTTGTATTTAATTCATATGCTAATTATGATGCATCTTTAATTTTAGTGTGTGGATATTAATGGTCTTTTTCATCTATCGGCCATAGTCAATCCACTGCTTTCGATTCCTTGGCTGCATTCTCCGTTATTATTAATCTTGACCATTGTTCACTATCCTTTCTCGGTTGTTCACAGTTGACTTAAATTATAACCATGTCTTGATTTAAAGCTTTCGTGACTGCAGGGATTCATATTCTTGGTTCTTTCGGTAAAGTCACGTAGAAGGGAAACAATAAAATAATAAATAAATATTTCCATTATTTTATTGTTTCCCTTCTACCAAGAATATATAACCATGTCGTTAATAGTCATACATGTTTAGTTAATTGCAAAGTGTTTTTTTGTAAATATTCAATGCTAATTAGTTATTCGTGTTCAGGCAATAGTTAAGTCTTTAGCCAGTGCAGTAGTTATTCTAACTTTAAACTTCAGTTAAGTATTGTAATATTATGTACGTGTGTACGTATGTACTATATATGTGTTAAGCACCGCGTTCAGGTTTTTTGACAACAAAAATTTAAAGGACCTTTTTGTATTTTTACCCGAAGGGTTGTGCAAAAAAAAATCGTTAGTAACTTTTCACGAGCAAAAAATGTACCTTTTTTCACGAGTGTTTAACCTTGATGTTTGAAGACGGGTACTGCGTGCACTGTATTTTAAAGTAACTTTCCCAACACTGCACAATGCAGTAAAGTTCCTGCTATAAAAAAAAAACAATGATATTGGTTCTGCTAAGGCAAGAGGAGGGTGGTATGTGTTTAATGTGAACAACTTTAACTTGCTTATAATTCCATAGTAATTGATGGTAATTCGAATCTACATCCGCATTTGCCCCCTCAAGTCATGGTTGACATCCTAAAATGTAATACCTGCTCTGGTGTGTCAACATCCTCACTGGGGAGACAAAGGCAGCCTTGCATGGTGCTGTTACACCACTGCCTCTTGTGCTTTCCGGCCTTAATAGGTACTTGCTATACACTAGCACTGACAGTCCGTAAGACTAAATGGTGATCTGTGTATCTTGTAAATGGATTGTATAAAATAAAAAAAAAGCCACTCGTGTCATTATCCATGTTTGGTGCTCAACCTTGTATTTTCAGCCTGTTTCTCTGAAAATTAAATTGAAGTATTGTTTGTTATTTGCTAAGGAGGAATACCTTTTGGGTTGAACTTTTTTCCAGATCCAGAGCAATGAAGATGAGGGTGCAGTGAACGTTGCCAGCAGCTTTCATCATACGTTGCCAAAATGCAAAAGAGGTAGCTTACATTTTCATTCCTTCTCCCTGTGTACTCCTGTTCTTGTCTGCATTAGACATCCTTTGCCAGTACCAAAATGTAATAATAATAATAATGATGTAGATACTCACCCCGAGCCCCTCATTACTTTGATAGTGCATTGTCTTTGAGCTGTGTGACGCCTTTTGGCGTCATCTGGTCGAGCACCAAATTGGGTCGAGGCTCAAAAGAAAGCCGTCCCTTGGTGTGGACCAATCAGTTTCAAGGACAATGCATATATTATATTCTTAGCTCTTTCGGTAAAGTCACGTTGAAGGGAAACAATAAAATATATATAAAACAATAAAATTCTCATGACGTTTCGACCTTAACACAAACGGTCGTCATCATCAGGTGATCATCATCAGGTGATGATGACGACCGTTTGTGTTAAGGTCGAAACGTCGTGAGAATTTTATTGTTTTGTATATATTTTATTGTTTCCCTTCAACGTGACTTTACCGAAAGAGCTAAGAATATGAATTACTGCAGTCACGAAAGCTTTAAATCAAAATGTAATGCATATATTATCATAGTATGTTTTTGTTTGCATTTTGACTGCAGGTATTGTGGTTAATGCAGACATGAATCCTCGTAAAAAAAGGTTTCAGTTTTGTTGCCAGAAAAAAGGGGAAAAACCCTATGATTACATTTTAGTACTGGCAAAGGAGGTCTCATGATAATAAACTTTATTAACTCGCCTCATTAATGCTACATCGTTTTAACCAAGTATACAGCTTGCTGTAAAGATGTGATTTATATACCCTATAAACCAGATTGCAACAGCAAGCCATTGTATGGCCCAAATATGATTTTTTCCTGTTGACTTGCTTTGCCTAAATTGGTTATACAGAGAATTCCATCACTTGCACCCATGGGGTGGGCAATATGTTACATCTCATTGGATCTATCTTGAATAACTACATTTGAAGTAAAGTGGTAAATTCCTTTAAGACCATTTTCACTGACACTTTGAAACTAATTGTTTTAAATGTGTCTTTGGTGTTAGCACAGAGCAGTATTTTCTTTTGAGGCATGCATCTTGTCGGATCTTAACTTGGCCTCTTCGTGAATGTCTTGCCACTTCTTCTGCCAACTGCAGTGTGCTTTTGGTTAATATGCCCGTCTTTGGCAAGTGCAGTCTACACTTATTAGTTCAGCCTACTTGTGCATAAAACTGTCTTATTTGTGTGAACATTAATGCTCTTGGACACGTAATTTTAAGATGCGAATATCTAGGTTTCCTTTGTTTTTAGGCCATATGGTGCTTGTTTCGGCCTCCGAATCATGATGCTCTTTACACCTAAAACGTTTCAGAACCAGAACAAGGTAGCAGCAAGGTTGGTGCAACTGAACTTGCTGACTAACAGCATAGTTTGCTTCCTTATCTAGTCAACACAATTTAATGTTGCCTCCCAAAACAAGCTTGAGTTGTGCTAATTTCTGTTAACAGCCCTGAGCCATTGGTTGAATGTTTTTTTTTTTATATATATTAATAGAAAGCCTGTTAACATGGCTCAAAATTATAATTATTGGATCCAATTCTAGAGGCACGTTAAGCTCCGTTTCGATCGAGTAGAGTGCTTTATCGGCAGCGTTACTGAACTATATTATATATGGTAAAGACCGCAGTTGAATTGTAGTGCTAATCCATGTTGTTCGCTCGATTTCCCGGAATGTTTAATAGTTCACAGGAATGTCATGTTTGCCCAAACATACCTCAAGGCTTTCAGTTATTCTTCGTTATGTTTTCCCCATGGTTTATACCAAGAATCACATTTTTTTTATATTGAAGAATGGCAAACTTGTTTGTTTTAGAACTGCAGTTGTAAAACTTAACCAGAATACCAAAAAGTGTAAAATATAGATAAACGTGACTAGGTATTCCTGTTTTTTTTAAATGCCTGTCTAAAGAAATATCTTTGTAATTGCCATCTGTCAGTTTTTGTTTTCATTGTTTGGTGTTTTAAACACGATTTGCAGAGATACTTAAGTGTAATTATCTCCTTGAGATATAATTTGCAATGCAATATGTACTGCAGTATCCATGAATGAGGGTTGAATGATATTTCATGAGATGAGCTTATTAAGTTAGTTTTATGCACATAGCAAATGTTGCACATGCAAGAATGTACCACTTTAGTATTATTCAAAGAAATCCTATAAAATTTCGAGTTTTAACTATGACATTTATTACAGGAGTTAAACTGCCAGCATGAGATCAAACTTCGTCAGACATAATCTTAGCCTTCTGTCTCGTTGAAGATGTCCTTGATTGTTTATGTACAGTTCCCGAATTGACCACACATTCTTCTACAGGAGCCTATTATAACACGCATTGTATCCATGCGTTTGACTTTTGAGTGCCACTTTGTGGGCTGTTAATGGTGCTGATTCTTTGGGTCGTCACTGGCCCCTGCCATGGAAATGTGGAATTTTCACAATTGACCCTGAGCTGCCAACAGAGACGAGTTACCACATCAGGACTGGTTTGAGCAGGCAGACTTCCTTACTTCACTTACGAGTTGAATACCATTGCAGCAAGGAACCTCTGCGTTGACCTGGTGATGTTAGGTCTTTCATAAAGAATACACCTGCATGCCGATTGAAGCTTCCCATGCTGCACGCCACAGTGGTTGGCACACAGAAGAAATTGTGGACCAGTCTTCTCTTGGCTTAGTAGAAACCATCAAGGCCCTAATTTTGCATTGGATCGACAAAAGTTGGGAATTATTGTTATTGTATGATTTGACTATTCCCTGCTTTTGACCCACGTACTGTATTTATTTAATAATTAAATATACCTCTTGTTTACACCAGTTTTAGAGCAATAAATGTGCAACCTATAAACATAATTCGTGTAAAGTTCAGTGGTTGTTTTCTTAAGTAACTAGCCATAAGTGTTTTTTTTTTTAATCGCTGGTTCGGGGGCGCTTCCTAGTGCTTGGTTTGAGACTGGAGTTACCTTTGGCTTTTTTTTGCTTTAATGTGAGCACTCGATGGGGTGATGAAAATGTGCATTCTTGTTTAAAGTAAGAGTGGGTGTGTTGAGGGTGTAATCTGCACCAGCAGGTTTTTGCGTTATGACGCAAGCCTCCTGCATTCTTCCTTAGGTCTCTATGCTGGCGAAATGCTGTTAAGAGCCAACAGTGGTCAATCTGACAGCAGTGGATTTGAAGACGTCAACACGGAGTGTATTGCAATGAGCAGCATACAGGTATTTATAGATGCTAAAAGTATGGAAACTAAGCAATGTGATTCTGCTTTTTTATATCCTAGTCATAGTGATGAATATTTACTCTTTTTCTTAAATGGATATAATAAAAAAATGCAGTTATATCAAGGAAACAGCCGATTACTATGTCTGGGGACCATTACAAATAGTTTAACTAATTGCACTTTTACTTATGAAGATGGGTTGTATGTCGGGTAGTGTGTAAAACACCCAGTGAGTGCCTCAAGTCCAGATATAATTACACATGGCCAAGGTGGGTTTAAATCCCACCTTGGCCATGGTTATTATTGTTTTCCATAATGCTCATACCGATACTGTGCCAATTTGCATTGTCAAGAATAGACCAATTTGTGCTGGGCTGTGGCTTTCAAGCATGAGAAAGTAGTCTGCAATTATGTAGAATATAAAACTAGCATTACCACCAACACAGCCTTAAAGCAGAATACAGCAGACATGTTACTCGTAAGGTTTCTGCTACAAAATAAAATGAGTACTTGTACGACAAGTTATATTACCATTGAGCAAGAATTGATGCATTTTAAGTTATTTTCTATTGGAGCCGGACAATTTATACATGAGGTTGCGCTGTGCGGCACAGCTAAGTTGTTATACAGTGCCAAGGCTGTACACGTAGCTTTACTCTTTGTTTCACTGTGTATATGGCCATGAAGGCCCGATGCTATCTCCCATCTTATCTGAATGCCACACCAGAATTGGGGTGGAATCTGGCCATTTTTGTGCAATATGCATCTTTTTATACATTTAAGATGCCAGTAATGCTGCCTGCCTGGTGTTGGGGCTGATGCTCGTCAACCGGTATCAAGCAGATTTTCCATTAAATAGTTATACAAATGTATCGGCCATATATTTCATTGCTGATTCTACCAAGCCTGCAATGCTTCACGTGGGCCCCCCTCCCTTTTTGCCTGAATGCCACTTTGGACTCTATGCAATTTAAGCCTCCTGCTCTGAAGTGATTTTTGGATCCCATGAGCAAGTAGATTTGATTTATAATAATTGAATTTGAGGTAAGAATTTTATAAGGCTGAAGAGCTCTAGCTTCTATATATAGCGCTTGTATTATTTTGCATGAAACTGTTCAGCAGCATTGATTATATTGGTAAAAAGACATAAAAATTGGTTTTCTGTATCGACACAAGCACTGCTTCCCCCCAATGTTCTCTTTGGAATTGATTAAAGCTACCATACTGCCTCGACTTGACTACTGTGACATCGTGTATAAATCAGCCCCAAGTACTGTACTGAAGAAGCTTGATTCCATCTATCACTCGGCCTTAAGGTTTACATTGAACTACCCATATAGGACTCACCACTGTGATCTCTACATTGGGTCAAACTTAACATCTCTTAATGTTTGACGGCTTGTGCACCAGATCTTATTTATGCACGATGTACTTGCAAAAAAATCCGCAGACTACCTGCTGGATCTGCTCTTTTTCAAAGAACAGATTTGACCTCAGGTCTTCGCTCATTTACCAGCTTCACATTCCCTATTGCCGTACAAAAACTGGAGGGAAGGGCCTTTGCTATTGATGCCCCCAGGGTCTGGAATGCTATTGCCAATAAACTGCAACTTGAATCGCTACCAATGGGATCTTCTCTCAAAACTGCTCTAGAGGAGTTGTACACCCCTAACTGCCACTGTTATTCATTGGCGTAAAATAAAAATTTTCACTCCAGATAACGCTGCAAAGTATTATCTGCATTTTGATTTAGCGTGCTGATCTTAAAGGTGCATTGAAAATGTTTATACTCCGACTGATGCTTCTGTTGTTTTGGAGTAACTCATACAGTCATCTATGACTCTAGGATTTAGTGTTACATGTTGTTTATGTAGTTTATTATAAAAATTCTTTTAGTCCCTATGATCACTGTTACGTTGCAATTATGGCTTTATTTTTTGGTGATTTCGAAAACGTTTTTTGGTTTGGACATGTTTGTTTTGTTGTCGTACGGAGTTAGACTGATGGCCTTAATCTAAGTTTTCTTGTGGTTGTTGTTGTTTGACTTGCATCCTACTGGGATTTTTTTGCACACAGCGTTGGTGTACGGTGCTTTTTTCAGGAATATTTTGCTGTTTTTTTTAATGGATTTTCTGTTTGCACAGTCACAGTCACTTTAAGATGTTTTTCTTGTTCGTGTTTTTGTTTGTTCTGGTTGCACCCGATTCAAGAGCCTAATGGCTCACAGGGCTATACCAAAATAAATAAACTGAAACTGAAATTTACAGGTCTATATGTTAAATAAAAAAAAAAGTTTTAGTTTGGTTATACATAGATATTTTAAATGACTTCAGCTCTTTATCTAGAAACTGGTTATTTAAATTCCACTTATCAGAAATGAGTGAAAAGGAAAGTTTTGTCCAAACCATCAAAGGTTTGTCCTTTGGCTTTTAAACAGTTGTTCATCGTTCAGAAGACACGGGTTTTTCTTTTTTCACCAGCTATGGTGAAAGACGGAAATACAGTAAGAGGAAGAAAAAAAATCCCTCTGTGAAAAGGTGCACCTTTATATATGCATGCGACTTAACTACATTGTAACAGACGGGTCAGGCCAGTACAAATTGTAAAAGAAAAAAATCTGAACTCTTTAACCAAGCTCTTAATCATAACAAGAGGGGGGAGGTCATTCAATAGTGCGTTAATGTTCATTTACTCTGAAAAAAATCAAGGTGTGGGAGCAGTCATGCAGTGGTTGTTGTACTTTACTGAACCAAGTTTAATTCTTGGTGATGGCTAATATCTGAACTAGTCCTGTCATTTGTTAAGTAATATATAGCTAAATCTAATATTTTTTTAAATTAAAAATGCACGTCCTTGGCTATGTGATGATACCATCTAATATATGTTATGTGAAAGATCTTGTCTCTTAGCACATGTGCTCGCACGTGAGCATGCAGTGCCTCTTTTAAGTACCCTCCTGCTTTGGCAGCACCCATCTGTGCAGTGCATACCACTTTAATCACAAATCAGCTCATGAAAGTCAAGTTTAATACGAACATCACGTTCTCAACTTCCATGGGGGTCATCTGTTTTTTATTGTTTTTTTTAAAATCCATAATGAAAGCCATACTCGGCCACTGTGTAAATTAACACAATTTATGTTAATCCAAAGTATGTGATTTATTGGTTGTTATTCATCTATTTTTTTTTCTATTTGTGTTGCTTAGACACATTCAACATATCTGGGGGAAATGGGCAGCAGTGCGGAGAGTTTTGACAGCCAGACTACGCTGACCCTGCCCTCCGAGACACAGCCCTCTGATGATGTGGACATTGCCATTCACTACAAAACATCTGTGTCTGCAATTTATAGTTCTCCAAGCAGTGACACTGAAAGTCACACACGAGGCGAAGGGTCTGATGATGACATTTCAGTTGCTGATAAGGACACAAAACCGGTTGAGATTGAAAAATGCAAGCATGACCACCATTCTTGTGACTCAACGAAAACCGATGCAGCTGGAAACCAATGTGCTGTGAGGAATGCAGAATTAAACACAAACACAAGTCCCGCACTGCCACAGTGTGAAGAATGTATTGCCGAGTATTCACCACATTTTTTACAGAAGTCTGCATCCATAATGGACTCCGGTGGGTCCAAACGGAGTGCAAGTGATGTTGTGCAGCATTGTCAAGTGTCGGATATGCAATATGTGGAGCCCGATCATGTGATTTACAATGAATCTTTAAAACTCGTGCCTCATGGTGTTGGACTTGAAATTCAGGGTAGTGTGAATATAACACATAACTCTCCAAAAGATGCTGTTGGAAATGAAATGGCCTCTGATAAAGGTAATTCAAGAGCAAGCCTTGAAAAAGAAAGTTTTTTTAATTTCCCAATGTCGGCTTCGGAAGAATGGTGTGCGGAACGAGATACAGCCATTGCAGTGGGCGAGTGCAATTTCACCCCTCAGCCTGGAGCAGAGGGCCATGATGGTGATGATTCTCAACGTCACAAGGACATGGCAACAAAACACCCATTGCTTGCCAAGTCTTATGAAAGTGGAGATGCACAAACTGAGAATTTCCCAATAAATGAGAATATTGAATCTGCACTCCAAAGGTTGTCCTTAAGAAAATCAATGAAACAACCAGTGAGGACCCCACAAGGATCAAACAGTCCTTTTGGTGTGGATGATCTGATGGCCACCGTTTCCCTAGATCCTGTAGAATGTCATGATGGAGATAGCACCCTCACTTTGGAGCATGCACAATGTCCATTTCTTAGTCCCACAAAGGTGGTTTCAACTATCAACATTCAAATGACACCAGATCACAAAATGTCCTGTAGCCCTGTGGCTTTCACATTCAAATATAACACCACTGAAGAAGACAAACCGAAGGAGCCTATCGGCATGCGAAAGCCAAGGCTAATCAAGCAGATGTCTGCCCCTGTTTTAGAAATGACCCACTTTTCAGAAGATGTACAGCAAACTTTGTCTCAAGCACCAGTTTCTTTTCAGGACAGGGTTACAACGACATCTTCTAGGTCTGTGATTTCTGTGCCCCAACACAACCAGCCCATAGATCACACCAGCCTCTACAGAACCGTTTCACTGGATGCCGGACTGGGGTGCAACACACCGCCTCTCCAAAGAGCCCAGTCTTGCCAGAGCTGTTGTTTTCAGTGTCACCGCCCCATTCCCTGCTGCCATGCTTTGCAAACCCAGGCCTATTGCCCGAGGGTGCGGTGCAGCAGTGTGTGTGGACAGACTGGCCAGTTTGAGGATTTCCATAGCCACCCATCCACACCGGGGGTCACCTCTCCTCTATACCACTTCCCCATGCGGCCATCTCTCTCCAGACCAGAAATTGAGGCCGAGCTGCATAAGATCCTCTTTGACATCAGGACATCGACAAACAAGCTGTCCACGTTTAACGTGCAGGTGCAGTAAGAGTTTGCATATGTTCTTTTTCACAGTACTCGTTTATTAAATTAGAAACTACTTTTCAATTGAACGTTAGCCCCTGGGATAGACACACTTAATAAATGAAAGACGTAAGGGAATAAAATCTCCCCAAAAATGTGCAAGTTAAGTCACAAGCTACAGGCATACACATAAGTAAAACATCAAATGCAGAACTAACAAAAAGCACGGACACCTGTGATGCATTCATCATACAGCCTAAAATTGTATTATATTCGGGCTAATTAATATACTAGAATAATGTAGTCATTTTTCTATTCGCACCATTTTTATAGCCCAGTACCAGTAGGGAATGATATTGTTATGTTGTAAGTCCTCTCAATTGAGTAATTTGCAGGTTATTTTTATAATTTGGACTAAGACGCCAGTACACGATTTCATGCAAATTTTGTGAGGGGGAGGGGGGGATATTTTAACATCCACTGACGCAGACAAGTGTATTTGTTTGGCCAATACACTTACAGCAATAACCAGGTCAGCCTGTCGCATTGTAACCGCTCACCTCTGCCGCAAGCTCTACCACTGGACCAGGATACCTATTAAATATCAAAAAGTAGGCACCTGCTATCTCAAATTGAAATTGGTTGTTTTCTAATAAATTAATCTGAAACTTAAATGGGATGGTTGAGTTAATGAATGTTGCATGCAATAATTATTCCATGTAACAGAGGTTTGTAGACCGAGGTCAACCATATCAGCGTCATGTGCAATTTCATTTCGAATTGCTTTTGTTGTTATTCCAGAATATGCATATGCTGGTGGAACTTCACGCGCTGAAGCAGAACGTTCGTCATTTCCACGTTGAGCTCACGGAACTTGAGATTGGCGTCTTGAGCCAGCAAGCTTCAATTCGCAGACCTCTCAGTGAGCAAGAAAGGTTGGTGAAAAACCTCATCCACTCGTGGGGCAGCATGATAGTTCATGAATACACATTAGTTACAACCATGTTTATTTACATACCTTACAAATACATCAGGATAACCAAATCGTGAATGCTTCTGTCTTTTAGCATTCTTTATTTGTTATATAATATACAAAACTTTTATTTGTGTAAATAAGTATATACATAGGAGTGAGCATATATGTAAAACATCATTTAGTATCGTCTTTAATGAGCCAACCGAAGTGTTGCATTATGAATCTCTTGTATAATCACAATCTTTACAAATGTTAAGACCTTGTAAATTTCTTCAACCGCTGTAATGGGGCTGTGAGCTTATAACGAGGTAATTACATGCTGACTTAATTGCAGCAGTCGGCAGGTTTTGCATCAGCTTATGGTTAACCCATTGGAGTATATTGGCACCTTTTTATGTATCGTTCTGAATTATGGGTGTTGCACCTGCTGGTGCTGTGTTGCCAGACTGCAAGGAGAGCACTTGCGTGGGTTGAGGTGGACGGTGAGAAAGGAACTGATGGAGTTGGAGGGGCGTCTGGAGGAGAGGACACGCGAGCTGGAGTTGCACCAGGAGGTCAGCACACAAACACGCCACACATGGCCCAAATTGTTTGGGGCAGGGATGAGCAATCCCAGGCCCTGTGAGTTTAGCCTGTGCTACTCATATTGACCAGTATGAGTAGAGACGGATGTGTCTGTGTGTAGGAATGGGGAGCGGTAGTGTTGTGGTTAGCACACTGCGCTACGAACCTGGTAACCCAGGTTTGATTCTTGCTCACGACCAACACCAGTGATTTTCTGAACCGGTCCTGGGCCTCCCCTAGCTCGACTTGGCCTCAAATGAGTACTTGTGTACACATCGTCACTGGGGAGACAAAAGCGGTCGGGCGTGGTGTTGGTCACCCACCCCCTCGTGTGCTGTGCCTGCCTTCATAGGTGCTCGCTAACAGCACTTGCCCCAACAGTATGTTAAGGCTATATGGGGGGGGGAGCTTTGTCTTTGTGTGGGAACCATACTATGGTTCACATGCTGCACTACAGTTTTGGCATTCTGGGTTTTAATTTCGGCCATACTTGGTAAATTATGTTTCCGAAGGTACATTGCTTTGATATGTTACGCTAAATGGCTTGTATGTATACATTCTTCATGTTGGGCATTAATATACGTTTCATTTTACGTGAAGTTTTCAGACACAGCATTGAGAAGTTCGCTATATGAAGATTAACCGATTTTTTTTCTACAATTCATATCTGGTTTTTGTAAGGGCCACGCCTCGACTGAATCTACTTTAAACGAGTTCTTAATGCGTTGTGTGAACATCAGCCCTCGGGAGATGAATGTGGTTGAGCATGATGCTAGCCATACCTCCTTTGTTTCATGCCTTACTTCATAGGCACTTAGTAACAGAATGGACCCAACAGTTAGGGCTAATTGTGGGAGCATTGCATTTTGTTGCCAAGCTTATTCACCGAAAGGAAATATTTGATAAGGAAAGCATGAACGTTTAGCTCGTCGTCGTGTTTTGTATTTTCTCTCGTACATTTTTGACTTTTCAAGCAAAAATACCAGGGGACTTTGTGGCAAAAGTATTCACCCATCCACATTCCTGATGGCACAGGTTTTTTTTTTTAAATAAACCGGTTCTCTTCAGCATGAGTTTGTCAAAGGAAAAGTGCTTCTTTTTAGCCCTATTGAATGTGGGCAAAGTTACAACAAAGGTTCCCTCTAAAATCTGGCAGTGAAGTGTAATGCGTCATAGGATTGGCCTTTCTGTTGTAACTGAATTTCCAGTGTGTGACGTATGTTTAGGACGGGCTGCCCCCCCCTCTACCAGTCGTGCTCAACGGTTCCTACACATGACATGCTCGTACAGTAGCTGTGCACTACAGTGTGTTCATGTATCTGGAGGTTACAAATTCTGTGGTTTTAAGTTTATATTGTATGATTTGCATTAAGACGAAAATGGGTCTTAAATTCTTCAAGTCAGCATTTGTTAATGGAAGAATGAGGCATCCACGATTTTGAAGATCCAAATGTGATTTCTGTGTAAACACAGTATATTATATTCTTTGGTTCTATCGGTAAAGTCACGGAGATAGAAGATCGAAATGTCGTGGGTTTTTTGCTTATAATTTTTATTTTCTATCTACGTGACTTTACCGAAAGAACCAAAGAATATGAATCCCTGCAGTCACGAAAGTTGTCAACTTAGTATATTGTGACAATTTCCAACAACTGCTCCCACTGTTGGTGTTAATGCAATTTTCCCGAAGGTCATTGGGAATAGAATAATAGAATATTCAGAGGCCAAACAACCACAATTGGGTTTAGGAAGCGTTTCTCGACTAATTAGCAGTGAAGTGCTTTCCCGAGCTGTCGCTACCATATTATTTTACTCTGCGCTGCAACAATCCATGCGGCGACTCCTGCACAGGAGCTGATGCGCAACTCCATCTCTGCGGTGTGCGTGCTCTTGGATGTGTGTTTCCGGCTTTAGCTGATCATCATGGCTGCCTAATTGTCCAAGGTCTTTCTTGCAAGAATTTAGTATCTTTGGCTCCTCCCACGAGTCTATGAGATGAAGTCTGATTCTTTTTTTAATAGTGTGTTGCAGTATCTGTGCAGAAAGTCACTAACTGAGTCAGGCAAGGGATTTGTACATGAATGAATGTGTTTATCAATACACAAATTCTTCAAAATGTAACCACTGGCTTTTTTTTCAAGCGAACTTGATCATTATCTGTCAAGAATTTTGCATCCTACCTATAAATGTAATTGTCTGTCTGTGTGGTGTTTGTGCACACGCTTGCGAGGGATTTGACTCTCGAATAGTGGGGTTTATGTAAAAAAAAAAGTCAGGCGCTATTCCTTTTTCCCATCCGTCAACTTTTAAGCACTTTATTTAGCGATTTTGTGCAGTTGAAAATTATATATTTATAAAATAGCATGCGATCGACCATACCAACTCGCACGTCTTCGCTGGGGGGGACGGCCCCTACCAAGTCACACGTGTTCGGTGGGGGGTGAGGGGGACATTTTCTTTTACACGTAAAAAATTCAATCAAAATACACAACGCTTAAGGTTAATTCTTCAGTGTGATGTCCTCTTCTCCCCCCCCCTCACCCCGATGCATGCAGTTACTACTATAGAGTCCGTAGATGTTAATATTATAGCGCTTGGTATTATTGTAGCGCAGGTGGAGGGATGGTGGGGGGGGTAGCGGCCCAGCCCCCAGCCTGCCAAGGTGCCACCTCGGCCGGCTGGGCAATCTAGGCAGAGGCCGGGACTCTGCAGGGGACTAGGCCTCGCCACGGCAATGTTAAGTACAATTTTCTAGCTTCTTTCGCTAAGCTCATGTACATAAAAACCTATTATTTTAATAATCACCTTGGAAATATTTAAATATTTTTGCTTGTGTGCCGACAACTTATATTTCTAAATTTTTTTGGTCAATATTAATATTTGTATTGTGTCTAAGTCCATATGTGCGTTTGAGTCTGTGTGTGTGTGTCAATGTCTGTAAGTCGATGTGTCTGTCTTTTTCGCCCGGGCAACGCAGGGTACTTCCTGCTCGTAATTTATATTTTATAAAAATCTGAAAATAAAATGTTTGCAAACATCAGTTCTACTTAAACGCAATGCGTATTCGACTAAACCATATGGAAAGGTTTTCACGGACTATTGTTAATTAAAACATCACTCGACTGTATTGTTAGATATTAAACAATACTGGTCCTGCCAAAGCTGAAGAACATGATGTTTAGTGCAGTTTTATTGAGTTGATACATTTTGCCACAGCTAGAATGTTCTTGTCAATGAGAAATGCTGCAGCTGATGCTTCTTTGATATTCTTTTATCAGTGTTTTTGTTCTTATTTTACGATTTACATTTTCCTATTGGTAGCCTGAGTTTCTTGTTTTTAATGTTTAACGATGTCGGTAGCGCTGAACATGTATCCATAGATGGATTTGGGGAAAGAGCTATTGCCTCCTTGCCCTGGATACACAAACTTGTCTCCATAGATGGCTGGTGTGCATTGTTTACATTTGTAGATCTGAAGTTCTGCATCTTTAAAAAACATGCTTTTTTTGGTTGATTTGTTTAGTTAAATTACAACTTTGTACACCTTACAAAAATTTCGTTCCTCATACAACCATTTTAAGGTACTGTACTGACTTATTTTAATTGTTCCTAAAGAACAAGCACCGTTTCACCCTCTTTGGAGGAGGCTATTGGCAAAACGGTCACAAGTACCGCATATGACGTAACCTACTAGAAGGTGCATTTAAATACAAAAATCACTTCTTTGATTTGAAAGACTTACAATTTTGCCTGTGCCATATCGGGACACGCCTGCAGTGAATCTACTTTTGCATTGTTTTCTTTGGCTGTCGTACACATCCTGCTGTGCTTTCATTTGCCGCAGACGTCAAACTTCCGCTCGTCATTCCAGAGCCCGGAAGCTCGGAGTCCGAGCCTTTCGAGAACTCTCTCGGGTGAGTGCTCGCCGTCCATCTTTAACGAGGTGGTGGATGAGGTGGATGCGGGCTGCTCGGAAAGCTGCGAGTCGTCCTTCCCATCCGCCGAAGCTGAATGCGATGAGGGGGCATCCTCGGGCCCGGAGCCAGACATGAAAAAGGAGTTTGCCAGTGCGAAAGAAATAGCCAGAGTTTTGCACGAGGTGAGATTTATGAGCTGGGTGCCGCTGTCGTTTGTGTGGCTGTCTTGCTTTTGAAAGTTTTGTGTTCACAACCGTGGGTCAGGGTCATCTGTCCATGATAACTAAATGGCAAACTTAAGCTGAACACCAACCGACATTCATTTGTGCTTAGAAAACTTTCACATGAGAAGAAGTCGTGATGCTTGAGGTTGTTTTTTTTTTCTCAAGAGCAACTGAATCTCAATATATTTTTTATAAAATATAATGGACTTCCATAGCATTGCGGCAGTGTATTTTTGATTGGTCACATGTTAGCACAATGGTATAATTATTTTATGCCTAGACGCAGTTTTTAAACCTACAGTTAAATAATTGCCGGGTTTTTTTTTTTACTCTGAATTTTCTACTCTTGAGCTCTAATGGCCTATCGTAGCACATTGGTTCAAGAAAACCTGACTGCTGATGAGACGAAGTATGTCAAAACCGGTCCAGAGTTTGCTTCTGCTGAAATATTGCACTCCCAGAAGGCTGTATGGCTGATGAGATGTGTAAACAAGAGAAACAAAACTTTCGTTTTGTCCTGAAGAATTTATTTTGTTTGCTTATTTCTTTCACGTTTTGGCACTACACTCTCCTTACATGAGGTTTATGTTCCTGCTCCGAAAGTACCTTTACAAATATATTGCTACTTGCTACAATATACCACTGTACTGTTTGGTGGACATAATTTATGGCAGTGTTGTCACAGAGCTATGCCGCCTTGGGTTTATACGGATACATTTGTCTGCGAGATGCACCGATAAGCCTGTTCGTTTAATTTTAGCCTTGAAGAAATATATTTTTTAATATTTACAAGTGCAATCAAACAGATTGAGTAGGAACCGAAATTATTATCAATTATTGATGTTGGGCTGTATATAACATGAGTATCATTACCACTGTAGTAAAGACAAGTGTGTTCTGTTATAGTGTCTTAAACTAGAAAGACTTTAGTCATTGCTCTTGTCTGACATCAAATTGTGTTTTTTTTTGCCAAACACTATTGACCTTCTGGTAACATCTTCAAGTTTGTCTATATTGCAGCACAAGGTGTTTACGAAAGAGCAGCTGCTTGAACATGTGTGCAATATTTTCATCCTTTTAATCTTTTACTTGGACATCAACAAATCGAAAGGAAAAGAAGCTTATGTCGACACTTCAGTCGGCACTTTTTTTTGGCCAGTCGTGCTTTTGATAAGGTCTTCCCAATGTCATGTGTTGCAACTTGATTGCATGTTGAAGGTGCGTGTCAGAGTCAAAGTACAGTATTGTGAAAGGAGGGCGGGGAGTGGTGGCATGCCAATTGACATACTGCTCTTGATGATCCTTGAAACCTAGATTAAATTTCAGTTGGTATAGTACGCATGCTTAGGGCCTCTCCCCAAGAGAGTGACTTATTCTTAGATTAGTACTTTACGAGTGGCGTAAACGTTGGTATGGAGATGATTTAGGCAGCCGTGGCATTGTCTTTGTGCTGTTCGCCTTTTGGCGTCCTCTGGTCTAACACCGTTTGAGACGAGGCTAAAAGAAAGCTGTCTAGTGTGGACCAATCAGTTTCAAGGACAATGCATATATTATCAGTGTTTTTTGTTTGCATTCTGATCACAACCATTGTGGTTAATGCAGACATGATTCCTTGTAAAAGGTTTCAGTTTGGTGTTTTAACATCCTTAACACCTGTTTTGTTGTCAGAAAAAAGGGGAAAAACCTATTATCAGTATATTATAGTTGGTTGTATCTCTCACTGTACATAATGCTCCGTTTTCAAGTGAGTTTTGGCTCGTGCAACAGACGTCCTTATGTCTCGTGTATTAAAATCACAGCCCAAATATGGGTATGCTGTGTATGTGCTGTGCTTCAGTGTAAACAAAGATTATACACGAATGCTCAAATAATGTATTGCGTGTGTGCTCAACGTTATGTCCTTAAAAGACATCTTGAATTCTTACACTTGTATTCTCTGCTTTTTTTTCCCTTTCAGATTAAGGAGTCTGTGGTAGGAGAGATCAGACGGGAGTTGGTAGAAAAGCTGCTGCCTATCTTCAATTTCTCGTCCAAGCCAGTACATCCTAAGAACACAGATGGGGAAGAGTAGTTGCACTTCTGGTAAGACTGTTGTGAAACACCGATAACTGAGTGACTCTTACGTAAACTCCAGGGGATCATGAACATAACTTAAATTTTATAAATCGCCCTTAAATAATTGTTCTCAGGGTGCTGTGAAGGCAGTGGGGTTTGTCAAAATATACCATGGAAGGATATACCATCTCTCATATAAATTGGCATTTTTGGAGAACCCCAATTTTGTTTTGTTTGTGGATATTTTTTTTATCACTCTCCCCATGCCAAAAAGTTCAATACTTTGTGAAGCAACACTGACCACGTGTCATGTGCCAGGCAGTCCCAGTTTAGTACTGCACAGTAATTACTGTGCCGTTTGCTTGTGATTTTCTTTTGTGTGGTTTTGTGGGTGTTTTTTTACATTGCTGTTCTTCATGAGTTTTTTTTTAAGTCCTAATAGATGATAATACAAGGTGCAATTGGCCTACATGTGGTGTTCATGGAAATACTAGCGTTTTGTTAAGAAAACGTAACTTAAATACTGGGGCACCTCTCTCCTGAATTGTCCCAGTATTTTGAGGATTGACTATTCCCTCAAGTGTGTGTGTGTGGGGGGTTCTCTATACTCCAATTCCCTTCATGCAAAACATACTCTCATAAAAAAATGTAATGGCAGAACATTCTAAACGGGGACCTTCAAACAAACAAAAAATGGGCTTTTGGATTTTCCTCCGTCATGAAATGTAACTTATCATTTTAATATTTTCTTTAAAAAAATGTCATCAAACATTTTAATAAGCAACTGCTTATGGAAGTTTGAATGATTTAAACATAATATATTCAGACTGATTAACCTGTGTTCCATGCACATGTTTTAATACGCATAATGTAATCGGTTTGTATTCTCATCTTAACTTGTGAATTGTTTTTGTTTCAAGGTGTCAAGGCTGCTTGGAAGATAACTTTATGAGATCGCAATGCTATTTACTCTGAAGACACTGTTACATAATTTGCACTAAATACTGCCTACTTTATCCCAGCTCCACTAATGTGTGGTACTCACTGGATTATTGTCATTCATGATGTTTATTTGGGTTATGTGAGATACACTGATAAGTTTGTTGACGACAAGAGGTATTGCTGTAATTGAAATAAGTTGCAGCCTTCTCTGAAACCTGTCCCTAAATGAAGGTAATGTTGCCTCCAGGGTGGCATGCAGAGGGTTTTGTCACTTAGCAACTTGTGTTTTTCCTGCTGTTGATGTACCATTCTGTCTGTGTGGGATTGTGCTCCATCATTTGTTTGGTGGGATTATGCCCCAGCTGGGTATGCCTGCCTCTGGTTTGCATCTATTCAGATTCAATCCAGAGCCAGACTTGATGCCAATGTTAGAAGCCAGCAGCTTACTTTAGCAAAGCCTCTTGTGTGTTTATAAAAAAATTGGATAGCAACAAGCAGTTTACCTGCATTACACATTCTGTGGAACTTGGCATTCAAATGAGTGATAAGGTATTTTGTGCTTCCCTATTTTATGTTCTTGTAGACAGCTTGGTTATTTAAAATTAGGATGATATTCATGTTCTTCATTGACATTTATGTACACTTTATATTGAAACTTGAAATATGTGGTGTGCATTGTTACAAATGCTTTCCAAAGGGTTGAGAGGTGTTGATTTCTGAGGAAGAGAGACTGGTCAGATTAGCTGTGAGTAGCAATGTTTATTTGTCTCGCCTTTTTTTGTGCCTTAACGCCAAGGCTCTGGGGTAGTTTCTGGCAACAACTTTTTCCTTGATGTGAACACTAAACAGTTGAAAGAAATTACTTTAAAAGTAGATTTCAATTCGGGGAAATAATCATACTTTCGTGTTTGAAAATTTACAATGTCTTGTAAGACTAACTGTTTTTAAGGAAATTCTATCGTCAAAAAATACCACAGATTGTTGCAGCAACGCAACGACATTAAGTAGTTTGGCTTCAATTAACCTCTCCCTCCAGCACAAGTGCTGGTGCACAGGGACTGGATGGAGAAAAAGTACACTTCATAATATCTAATACCTTGCTTAAGGATATGAGCAATTCAGTTGTGCAGCTGAAATTGCTTTCATATGCCTATTACATTGAATATTTAGCAACGTGCCTTGTGTCTGTACGTTGTGACTTGAATACATTAAATTGTACTGAGTTTAAAAAGTGCCGAGGAGCTTTCGTGCCCCTTTGGGCAGCTTGACTTACAATTAACACTCAGATTGAATAAATATGCTTTTATAATTTATGAGAATATAATTGTGGCGCTAAAAACAGTAAATGCAGGTTTTACGTTTTTGGTTCCTTCATAGTTTATACTTGGGCTTTATTATGTTATATGGGGAAGCATTGGGTGTTTTGTGCAATACTGCCATGGTTTTTTCACTGCTGTAAATGTCTTCACAGTTGCTCGTGTGTGTGCCTACTGTAACCCAATAGTTCTGCACTTGTATTCAGAACATGCTGCTGTTTTGATCTTTGTCAGAGTGTTATTTTTGAACGTGTTTTTGTCTTTCCGTATGTGTATTTATTAATGCTACTTAATGGATAATAAATAACGGATGTGTGATTTATTGTTTTATTCGTCGCCCAGCGTTATGAATGTGCAGCACCACGAGTACATTGTGATGTGGATGGTACTTGAGATTAAATGTAGATTGGTGACACATGCACCTCTTAAACCCATTTTATTTTTCGAAAAAAATATTTGTATCTAATGCTTTAATATATATCTGTAAAATGTCCTCACCCATGTCTGTGCTACAGTATTTGATACCTATTTGGGTTCAGCTGTTTTAAAATAAATGTGTGAATGAGTACACTGCATATGAATAGATTGCATTTTGTTTTGACAAATGTAATCCTAATAAACCTCATAAAAGAAGACCTTGGTTATTGTGATTTTCTTTTTGCAAATTGACAAGTCTTGACAGACAATTGTCTATATTTTTGCTGTTTTATTAGATTTTCCCTTGGGGGTTCTGTGGCTCCTGGCAATACAGTACTTGACAACTGAAAATAAATACATTGGTAACTTTTGTCTCGGTATTAAACATCCATTTGGTAGGCTGACTCTCAAATTATTGACAGTTAAATTGCCAGGTGTAATGTTGATTTCGTCCATTATGTTAAATGTATATAATTTAAGAGCTAATTGCATGTAGATCTACATTTATAAGCGTTCTAAAATGATCGCCGTTAATTGTCATTCCAAGAAGACCAACTTTAACTCGGCAAGTCGGACACCTGAAAGCATACAAACTGGGGTTTAAGATCTTCATCGCGTGCGTTTTCACAACGACGCTGGAGAGTTTACTTCGGGACTCCAGTGTTCTGCTCTTGGTTGCAGTGCCTTCTCCAGCCATGAACAGCAGTGCCCAATTCCAGCAAACGACGAGTGCCCTCTGCCGTTTATAAAACATAATCTCCGCCCTTCAGCTGGTGCATGTTGGTAATTGAGGTTACTTACATATGCATATTACAGTTTTGTTTTACATTTTACTGATTGGTGAGTTAATTACTTAAACCCCTGACTGACCAACATGTGGAGACAATACAATCTTTGGTTTCTAATAAGAATAAAAATATATTTTTGTTTTACTATTGCCCCCACTGCCCACCGCTTCAGTTCATCGGTTGAAATCCAATTTGTGGATTTTGGCTCATTCGTCCAGCCTATGAGAAATCCGCCCCCTTGCCATAGGAATGTGTACTTTCTACAAGAAGCTGGAGACACCACAATTTTTTTTTTAATGAGAGATTTGAATTTAGATTTTTCGTTTCTAGAGCCAGATTAAGTAAATTTGGCTCGAGTAGATGAGGTGACAAGGTGGTGAAGCGAGTGCGTCTATTGGGGTGAGACCTGTCGGAGTGGTTTTGCTCGATACCGCGCATTTCCCCAGTGCTCTTGGGATGAAAGCGATGTTGATGGGGAGTTGAACAATGAGGCTGAGAGAAGAAGAAAGTGGGGAGTGATTGAGCATGAGAAGCAGTCCACTGCCAGCCAGCTTATTCCATAATGCATTATCACTAGTGGTGCTCATTTGTCAACGTGGCTTGCTGACAAAATATCAATTGTATAATGCTGTTTTCATATGAAGGAGTTAATCATAATAGTTTATGTCAGTGTGAGGTCTATCAGCTGCTAGGCCATATGCTTTGAATAATTGATAACTACCAGCAATTTTCATTGAAAGGGCGAGGCTCGGTCAGGATGCTGCCATTGTGTGGAAGTTTCTGGACCATATTTTTTGTGAGGCTAAACTTCAATCCGTTGCACTTTAAAGGCATCAGCTGCGGGTGCTGTAATTGGGTGAAAAGGGAGTGGGCTCAGATTTCGGTGCTGAAATCACACCTGCTTATATTGTTATGGCAGACGGGGTGTCCTATTTGCTTACTGATGTGCGGAAACGTAATCCGATGAGGTGGGTGGTCGGGGCGGATGGCGAGGGGAGGATGTGGGTGACGTCAGATTCAGATGTGTGTGTCCGAGCAAGCAGCGTTAATATCTTCGTCCTCCGGGGGGGGGGGGCGGGAGGATTAGCCTGCCCAAGATCGACCGGCTGGGAGAGGTCCTCCGCCAATTGTGGCTGAGGACCAAGAGGCAGGGCGCTCTCACAGGCCAGCTGCCGGGCACGTGAGCACCCCGGACAGCAGCGCCGCGCCGGGGTGAGCGTCCGCTCCTCTCGCCGGGTTTCACCATGGAACCCAAAAGTCCGAAGAAGCTGCAGTTCTCCACGCCAGCCGTGCACGACCACTTGGACCCAGACTCTGCTGAGCAGGTAAACGGCCGTGCTTGATGCCGCCACCTGTCTAGCTTGGAGGTGGAAGGGGGGGCGGGGAAGGGCAGGAATATCTAAATTCTAGTCTCTGCCACAGGTTGGAGATTTCCGCTGGCTTGCCATGGTTTCTCGAAACCATGTGAATGTAACTAATATGTATGTACGTATGATGAACTTCTTTTGCACCGTTGGTAGCCAACCGTGCTAATCGGAGGTGCAACATGCGAGTGTAAAGTGGATGGGTGGCACTAGTTGGTGCTCTACTGATATTCAGATTATTGCGAGTTCAGACACCGTACGGGGGCTGGTTCCGCTCATCATCCCAGCGGGGATTCGTAAAATAAGTATATAACTGGAATGTTGTCAGTGGTCGTCATCTACAGAGACTGTCCCCCTGCTACAGGGGTATGGCCTTTAAATTCCTGGCGCAGTGGATTTGAGTGGTCATCCAATTGATAATATAATGGAGACAATTTGGCCATTTGTAATCATGTCATTGTCACTGGGTGTCATGGACGTCTAGATACTCCCCCAAACATGTTTTGTGTATGGCTAAAAGACGCAACATTTTTGGATAACAATCGTGGCATTTTTGAGTGCCTTTTCCTCCCTTGAACAAGGTGACATGCTGGTTACGCTCGTGATGAAACCTCTAAGTTCACAGCAGCGCGCACAACGTAGGTTCAGTTCTGTTAGTAGCCAGTGTGTTTTTTTTTTATAACTGCTGTATAGTACGGTACGACTCTAATTGTCGGTGACATCGCGGTGGGTATACATTGTCGATGCTCTATGTAATCTGGCCAATAGCCGCCGGTAACCATTCGCGAGTGGGACACTCCCGACTTTAAAAGTGTGGCTTGTGCCCCTGGCATAATGTCACGTTAAGAGCAGTGGGTGTGTGCAGCTGTTCATTAAATGCAACCTTTTTGTAGATTCGAAGGAGACGGCCGACGCCTGCGAATCTTGTTCTGACAAATGCCCAGACGTCAGGTATGTCCCGCTACATTATTGATGTTCTACGGCAGGACACTACCTACTTTTGTCTTAATGAATGATATATTAGATGGTGAAATATTAATGCAAACCGTGATTTATAATCCAATATGCCAAAATTAGGAAAACAAAGACATCTTTGAGGCTCTTCCATTGTTGAATGGGAGATGACTTAACATTGGTATGCCAGGTTTGTTTCAAGATGATGATGTTGGAAAACTACACCTGGTGTAGTTTACTGTAGTACTTATCAGGTAAGAGTTCGAATCAAGTATTGTGGGGAAATTGTAGGAAATGCTGATAATTAACTTCAAACCGTTGCCCTATTGTATCAAATGCAAGTACAAAAAAAATCTACCAAACTGCGGTGGCTACTGCAGAAGATGGCAGCTCTTCAGTTAGAAATACTAAATATTGTGTTCAAAGGATTGTAACTTTAATACGAGGTGGGTAATATAAAAATAAAGTTCACATAACGTTAATTAAAATGTGCAAAAGAAGAGTTAATATGTAAATATATGAAGGTTCCTTTTTAAAAACTCAATTCTCCCCTTTGTCTTGAATGCTATGTCTGTGCAGAACCTTGCTAAGGGTGATTTAACTTTTTCCTTTTTTCCGTACAGCAGAAGAGAATAGAAACCAGGAACCACAGACGGTAATGGTCCCAGCGAGCCATGTGATGATACAAACTACGGTTTTCTTATTAGGGTTTGTTTCACAGAAATCCAGTGTATTAGCTCACAGAACATATTTTGCAAAGATAATGTAATTGATCTAAATGTTGGTCCATGCACTGTGTGCGTGTGTTGAGTGAAGTTGGTGTAAGTGGTGGCGTCGAGGTGAGTGCACTGCGCTATGAGCCCGGCGACCCGAGTTCGATTGGCACTCATGGCCAACACCGGTGATGAATAACTGAACTAGGTCCGGAGCCTCCTCGAGGTCGGCTCAGCCTAAATGAGTACCTGGTGCAGCGTGTAAAAAAAATGATCACCTTGGCCCCTTGTGTGCCATGCCGGCCTTCGTAGGTACTCGCTAACAGCACTTGCCCCAACTGTCTGTTTTTATCCTTTTCGGGAGATCGTTGTCTTTATTCAGTGGATTGGAGGTGCACAAAGGTTTAGCGATATTGGTTTTATTATTTTTCAGGTACAATTGCATTGTCAATATTTACCTTGGTTTGAGTCTTCTCTCAATATGCTTAACTGAGAATCAACAGTTTATCAACATCGCTAAGAAGGAAGGGGCAGTCTGGTGTGTTGTGTCTGCTTTGACATGGGCTCACTGACAACACTTGCTCCAAAAAGTTCATGAATGCTGAGAGGGGACCTTTGTGCTTGTGTGTGAGTAACTGAATTCGTTCAATATTTTTTCTGAAAAAAAGGTTTTGGAGGTACACACTGCTCCAACTCCATCGCCAAAGCAGAGGAAACAAAGTGTTTACACACCTCCTATCGTTACAGGTAAACAACAAGTGCAAAACTTAAGGAATGGAGCCAATTAACCTATTTGCATATTGTCCAAACTCTGACCAATAAATCCAGGGCTTAAAATGTGAATATCAGGGAGGGAGCTTATGCGTGTACCGTTTATTCAAATTCAGTATCACATGAAATTATTAATCTTATTGTTTAATAATTTTGCTTTGCTGTAAATATCACATGCCACACTAAAATAAACACAGCTTGAATATATTCAAGCAAATTAGCTTAGCATCCGTAGCCAAAGCTGCAAGGGCGTGGCTGCCTCGGTTCTCAGATGTGAGGCATTGGGCCATGGGAGTGATTTCTTATTCTGAGGAAACATTAATATCACATGCTCTATGAGTTTGTGCCAAAAGAACACAGTTTATACATTATGCATGAAAATGAGCCCTTTATAGCCATCGCTGCAACCGAAAACGGCCAAAGAATAATTAATCGGTATACCAGTTTTTATGAAAAACTGACAATTTGTTTTATTTTCATTTATCAAACATGCTGAATATAACATTTTAGAAACTACCAAATTCACATACGTATGTATGTACATGGGATATGACAGGTATTATGAGCCATATAACACACACTGAAGTAGCATTTTGCTTGAACAATGTACTGCTTTTAGCGGTGCG